TGCTGTTTCTACATTTTGGAAGTCTTTTGTACTTGCAAAGCAATCATAATGGGCTCTGAAATACCTTGAGAAGACCCATTTTACACTCAAAATGGCAGCTCTGTACTGCTTGAAATTCCATGCTTAAACCATTTTGAAAAATTGATGTTGAAGGAGGTTTTTAGGGGGGGAGGCAGAGACTAAAATTAGTGGCGCAACTTTACCAGTTTTTGACAATATTGTTTGGTTCCTAATCATATCATCAAGGCTACCACTTTCTCAAAATATCAGACATGACCCTAGCTCAAAAAAGTTGGGGGCCACTACTTGAGACAAGTTCTTGCAGTGGCAGAGATGCCTCTAGATAGAAATATAGTGTGGAAGCTTCCTTTTATGAATTTTTGTAAGGAATTATATTGCATTATAGCACCATAATATATCATTGTTTTTATCAAGGAAAAAGAGAGGTTGGGAATGTTGAGGTGGTATGAACAAGTTCTTGAGTAGCAGCAGTAGTGACAAAGAGGTAGCAGAATCTATCAAGTTGGAGCTGGACTGGCAGCCTGCTGCTGCTGTAGGAGCCAGGATTTGGGATGCTCATTGAGACTGAAGTGTCTGTAGTTCCTGCAGTAATGTTGGTAATGAACCTTTCTCCCTCAGAGGTGGAGAATATGGTGGGCGAAGCCAGTGAGGGTTTTGCAGATTTATTTACCAAGCATCTTGGCTGAGTTGGTGTATTGGGACTGCTAGCAATGGAAGTCGGTGGAGATGTGTTGGTTTGGAGCAGTTTGAACAATAAGAGCAGGTCTGGGGTAATATCAGCCCAAGACATGTAGCTGTCCTGATGATTGATGTCAGTTGATGTGGCCACCATAATTTCTCCCTTGCAGTCTGTTAGAGAAGAGGACAAATGGTCATTGGCCATTCGGAATATCAACTATGGAATGAGATCTGATTTGATGCTACCTGAAAACGTCAGCTTGGATTGCAGGATGAAGTCCATAGACTAAGTACAATTTGTCTTTATTGAGAGAGTTGTATTAGATAGGAATGGTGGGGGGAGTGGACAATTTCTCTCCAAGTGAAGGAGGAAACTACATCCCTTCTCTTTGGAATTGGAACTTGCCAAGGGAAACAGGGGACATTAAGATTTGTCTTTTGTTAGGGTCAGACCATTCTCCCATTGTTTTCTTCCATTCTCCCATTGCTTCCCCTCCCCCTTCCAGAAATACAGATCCAACTGATCTGCCCATTCTAGGGATCTGATAGATCTGCTTGGTTTCCAGAGAGCATCTGGATTGTTTCATTAGCAACTGATGACAGTATGACATGGGATTGCAATTTTCCTAAACACATTCCACAACTTGACATTGTCGACATGATCAAGGGCCTTTCTGTAATTATTGAAGCATATCCTGATTTTTACTTTGTACTCTTTGGCTTTCTCAGTTGGCATCATCAGTAACACTGTTTGAACATCTGGCATTTTGTTTGTTTGTTTGTTTGTTTATATTTCATACTTCTTAACCACCCATCTCCCTCAGAGAGGAGCTCTGGGTGGTGATGGCATGCAAAATTAACAATATTGTACCAAATATACCATGGTTTGCACACTTTGTGAAGTCTCCTTTCTTTGATACTGATATATAAACTGATTCCTTCAAATCTTTTGGCAAATGTGTCCTTCTTCAGTTTTACTAGAATTGTTTGATTAGAACCTTCACCTTTTTCTTCTATTGCTTGTCATATTTCTGTAGATATTCTATAAATTCCTGTATTCTTCCAACTTGTAATGATTAGAATGGTACTCTAACTTCATATTCTAGTACTAGCGGTCCTTATAAAAAGGGAATATTTTTTCTACTATTTTGGTTGTTAACATTTCTATTGTACACAATTTAATATTATCTTTCTTTGATTTACTTAGAATCTGTCCATTAGCATCCATTAAGAGAGCCAGTTTGATGTAGTGGTTAAAGCATCAGGCTAGACACCGGGAAACCATGAATTCTAGTCCTGCCTTTCACATAAAAAAATGCAGGGACTTGTCCAGGCAGTCATCAGGAGTCAACATTGACTTGAAAGTATGCGCACGTATGCACACACACATACCACCATCCTTTAGCTTATTAATTCAAACCTCCTTCAGTGTTTGGGGATCTTTTGGATGATTCTCGTCTTTTTTCTGTCTGTTTCACTCTTCCATGTCTTTATAAATGTCATTGCAATGCTGCTTCTTGTCTCTTCTAATAGCTCTAAGAAATTTTTTTAAGTTCCTTTCAGAGGTCATCATATTTCTTGGTTTTTGCTTCTCCTCTTAACAATTTCTGCCATTTGATCTGAGATTTATTTTGAGTTCTTGTGTTTCTGTATCTTTTGTTTCATATTCATCCCTAACAACTTAACTTCATTTCATTCCACAGTTCTCTGGTTGCCTGTCAATGGACTTTAAAACAATTCCTAATGTTCTCCTTGAACATGCTAGGTATGCAATGAAATTCATATCATGACAACTGGTTGGTTTTCTTCTTCCACTTTAGCTTGATTTAGAACTTGCACATGAACTGTTCCACTGCCAAATCCTGATAACCTCTTTGCTGTAAAAGCTCTGTTTTTCTGTTCCATTGTATAATATAATACAGCTGATTTGATTTCTTTATATTCTTCTGGTGATGGTACATGTGGAAGACTGGAAATGTTCTGGAAGACTGTGTTAGCAATGAAGAAATAACTGGATTGGCAGAAATTAAGTCATCCCCCTGTTTCATTTCCAATGCCACGCAATCCAACTATGTTTTTCTCTTAATATTTTCAGCTTAGGCATCCCGATCTTCAACCACAAGCAGCACAACCTGCTTGCAAGTTCTGTTGAACAAGATTGAACTTGAAAATCATCAACCTGTTTTTTTCTTCTGCATCAGCGATTGGACCATAAACTTGGATAATCAACATATTAATGGGTTTTCCAAGAGGTCAACTGATGATATTCATTCATTGACTGCACTGTGTCCAAGTATTGTCTTGCTTTATCTTTTCTGATTATAAAAGCAGTCCTCTTCCTCCTCCTTTTGTGTATGTGTGTGTTCTAAGTAATAAATAGTTCTTTCAGTCACTTTCTTACTGAAAGTATCCAATTCCAGTCCTTTTCAATTTACTGCTGCCTGTCAAAATGTGGCCGGTTCGTTTCATTATGTTAAGCTTTCCCACATTCATACTTGTTATTTTCCATGTTTCCGCTATAAATCTGTTTTGTACCTTTGAAACTTTTTTTCCTGCATTGCAACAGTAGCAGCTAGAGGCCCTGAAGGCTTTAAACTAACAACTCTGAAAGATCCTCTGCTCTTCCTCAATAGTATGTTGAATGCTATCCAATCTGTGGAGTTCATTATCCACTATATCTTCAACCACTTTATATTGTTGATCCATTCAATTTTCTTGATAAAATCCCGGATTGGATTACAGATAATCCTGATTTAGCTATCACAATTAGGATCAGGAATTTGCTCACTGAGTGACACGGTTGCTGAGTGAAACTATGACTGTGTTTTATAATCTTACTCAGTTTTCCTTTGTTTTAAAAACCTGCGAAGATTGTAGATGTGATTGGTTATAAAGTTATTTTTTCATCACCATTGCAACTATGGACAATCATTAAACAAGGCAATTACTAAACAAGGACTACCTGTACCATTACCTTTTCCCACACAGGATGAAACAATTCCTTTGCCATTCTCACTAAAATGATTTTCCAATTCCAACTTTCTATATAACCCCCTGTTTGCTTTATCTGAACAGCTGGAGTGTCCTTAACATCTTGGGTGATCCTGTTGAGATTGTATAAACTTCCAGCATTTTCACTCATCCCTTTCAGGAATTTCTCCCCACCACCACAATAAGGCCAGACAGTGGAAGGGATATTCTTACATAAAAAAAAGATCTGGTATTTTCAGTACATCCTGGAACAAGCTAATTACAATCCCATCTATGATAGCTGTCCTGTATGTTGCATGTTCTGTGTTGCTGTCTCTACTGATGTGGGTTATTAATATATTTTTCATTATAGTCTAATTTCAGAATCCTTTTCTGAGCTTCACACAATGTTGCTTAATCAAAAAATAATACATTGTCTTACATGTGCATAGTTCGTATTTTGTAACCTGGTGATATTTCATTAAGTAATTTAACGTAAAAATATAAATTCTTACATATCAAATTAGTCTTATGTGTCATTACAGAAGAGGCAGTAAGGAAGGGATTACAAATTTTAGGGAGATGTGAAAGAAAGATGAAAGTCAGCTCTCTGAAGTTTGTTTTTTTAAGTAACTTCAGAAAACAGAAATGACAAGTTACTAAGTACCTTGTAAATGTATATAGACATGTATTGATTGATTGGATTCTTAAGGCTGGCCAACTCCAAGAAGACACTCTATATTTTATATCTTATGTACACTGAGAGCATATACACCAAAGACAAATTCCTTGTGTGTCCAATCACACTTGGCCAGTAAAGAATTCTATTCTATTCTATTCTATTCTATTCTATTCTATTCTATTCTATTCTATTCTATTCTATTCTATTTAGGATATCAGCTTTAATCAATAACTAATAAATTAGAACAAATATTAATTGGTAGTGCTATGAGGCATAAAAAAGAATCTAAGGTTACAAAGAAAAAAAACTATGATCTCTGCCCCTAAAATCCCTTTTCCATTCTATAGTATATAATATTTGAATGCAGTATCGCAGGCTAATTCAGCTCACTGCCAGGAGTTCGATCCTCACTGGCTCAAAGTTGACTCAGACTTCCATTCTTCCAAGGTCAGTAAAATGATCCAGATTGTTGGGGATAATATGCCAACTCTGTAAACCACGTAGAAAGGGCCGTAAAGCACTATGAAGCAGTATGTAAGTCTCAGTGCTATTGCTATTACTATCTGAGTCCTTCTTTCTATGTAGCTTTCCATGATATAACTTGTTGAAATAATTCTTTTTTCTTGTCTGTCTCTCTTTTTTTTTCTAGGGTAGTCATATGACTTGGACATTTACCCTTTAATAGCTATGTTGAGTTTAGTGTTTTCAGTAAAAATTCAAACAGTATGATGTCTAAGAGTTGAGAAGAAGTTCATACAAGGATTGTAGAATGTTTCTGGATGATAGAAAAAATCCATTCCTATCTTGCAACAATTGGATAACAGAGAACTTCCCAATAATGTGACCATCATGTGAAGTAGGGAGCTGTGTGGGATCTCCCTGTTCCAAAATAATACTTACAGGTACGTTTTTATTTTATTTGCTTGTTTATTTTTCTTCCAAACCCACTAGTCTGCAGGTATCGTGATTTTCTTTAGAGGCAATGAGAAAGTCACATCATCTACTCTTAACTTGCAGAAACAAATAAGATATGTGACAAACATTCAAATGCTGCTATACCTTAATTCCAAGCATAATAAAAGAAGCTTTAGGCTTTAAAAAAACTGTTTCTAGGGAATCCTTTGAAGAGTTGATACCCTGACTAACAAGAAGAGTATGGCTGAAGTTTGTATGTGACTTTATTCGAGTAAACACCATTCTTTTAACTGGGAGATATTAATTGGGCACAGTCCAAGAATAAATTAGACTTTGCTGTTGTTGAATTCAAAATATTTCAATCCTTTGCATTTTTAAAGAAGATCCACTTTCAGTTTACATTTCAGTTTTACATGTATTTTTATTGGTTAGTGCAGAAATTCTCAAACCTGAATTATCTTGAGACCTGCTTTGCAAAATGTGCTAGAGTGATCAAGCTCTAACTTGAGAGATTTAAATTTAAAAATTCCATGAATGGAGGTTTGTTAAAGTGGGTATGCATGTGCACTATATGTATGCGAACTATCCCATGTGTGTATAGCACAAACAAGGTTCTCTCACAGAGCAAAAAACTATGAGCTTAAGAACATATGTGTTTACCAAATGCAAATCTAGTAAAGTTTCCTTGTTACTTTATTAAAAATATAATTTACCCTTACATTTTGAATGTTTTTTAAGTAAAATAAGGGGTTTATTTTATTCAAATATGGATATTCTTATAATTATAGCAAAAGAATTAGAAACTGAAACATACTATATTTCTATCCAGTGACTCAGATTGCAGATTAAGCTATCATTGGAAGAGGTATTGGATAGGGAGGGGAGAATCTTATCCACTGCAACAAAATTAATGTATGTCATGGTAAACTGGCTGGACTCTTAATATTTGTTCCAAAATCTGTTTATGGCCAGAACTGTGACGCTTTTAACTTCTGACCGAATAGCTATATACCTCTTTCGGCCTTCAGGATAAGCCTTAAAACCTACCCATGCCAACTGGCATGGGGTCCCCCTCTCCCTTCCAAACCCTTGTTATTTAAGCTTGTTTCAATTTTTGTAACTTTAATCCATTTTTATATTTAGAATTGTTGGATTTTGCTTTATCTAGCTGTAAGCTGCAAAGTGTTGCCTGAACCGGGGGGGGGGGGGGGTAAATTTAATAAATTGTATAATTTATTTATTTTATTTATTTATTTCCAGTTTCTATACCGCCCTTCTCCCTGAGGACTCAGGGCGGTGTACAGCTAGAATTAAAAACATGCAGTACAAATATTAAAAACAATTAAAAGATATATAAATTTGGCCCAATTAAAAAAAACTACCCATTAAAACATTTAAAAAATTTCTTCTTAAGCCAGCCAGGCTTGCTGGAAAAAATGGGTTTTAAGGGCACGGCGGAAGGCACTGAGGTCTTGGATTCTCCTTATTTCTGGGGGCAACTGATTCCAGAGGGTAGGTGCCCCCACAGAGAAGGCCCTCCCCCTGGGGGTCACCAGCCTGCACTGTTTGGCTGATGGCACCCCGAAGAGGCCCTCTCTGTGGGAGCGCACGGGTCGATGGGAGGTTGTCGGTAGCAGCAGGCGGTCTCGAAGATAGCTAGGCCCTATGCCATGGAGCGCTTTAAAGGTGATGACCAACACCTTGAAGCGCACCCGGAAGACCACCGGGAGCCAGTGCAGCTCACGCAGGAGCGGTGTTACATGAGAGCGCCATGCTGCTCCCATCACTACCCGCGCTGTTGCGTTAATTAATACCTGATCACTCTACCTTTCTGTTCTGTTAAACTGTAATTTGTCCATCTTTGCTGCCATTTCTGTTTCCTATTTTCTGTTGGGTGGGTTTTTAGGTCCCTGTTAGGCCTGGTGAAATACTTTGTCACTGCAAACATGCTCCTAGCCATACGTGGTTTGCAATATTATTAACTTTTCGATGAGCCGTAGATGGTACAATTAACCTAATTATGAAGACTGGAAGGAAAATTGTTGACGAATCTTGTATTTGTTGCTGCAGTGCATAGTTCTGAAGGTGTGATATGAGATAAATTGTGATTGTGAAAACACACATAAACCTATTTATCTTTACTTAGTCTTTCCTACAGGAATCTACAATCATAGTTTTTTGATATTATTCAAAGAAGAGGCCTAACAAAATGCCTCCACGACCATCATCCGGTGAATTATGGGGCATGCACTTAATGCCACCAAAAATCCTAGTAGAATGTCTTCTACCTAACGGTATGATAGTGACTTTAGAATGCCTCCGTGAGGCCACCTTGTTAAATATTAAACATGAACTCTTTAAAGAAGCTAGAAAATACCCTCTCTATCAGCTCCTTCAAGACGAGTCATCTTACATTTTTGTAAGTGTTACCCAAGAAGCAGAAAGAGAAGAATTCTTTGATGAAACCCGGCGATTGTGTGATCTGCGGCTCTTCCAGCCTTTTTTAAAAGTGATAGAACCAGTGGGCAACAGAGAAGAGAAAATTCTGAATCGAGAAATTGGTGAGGCTTGCTCTCTTAATTTATTGCAACTATACGTATGATTTCCTGTTTACTGCACCTATATATGATTTATTGCATGCAATTTAAAATACTTGTAAAGGAAGGTGTCTCGCTTCCCTCCAACCTCAAGGGGAGATGATTCATATGATAGGCACTGTTAGTTTTCGGGAAATGTGATTGAATGACCTTTCACCTGTTTTTAATTGGGTGAGGAGATATATTTTCTGCATTGTCATGTATACAAAATAATAATTTAGCACATGTTTGAATGCTTCCTCAACTGTGTTGACTGCCAGTCTTCTAGCACAATCTAAGGCGGGGGTGGTAATCTTTAAATGACTTGGGGCAAGAATATATCAAAGAAGATTTCCTTTCATATGGAGCTGTCTGTGCATTTACTCAAAGTATTTGCAGCCCTAAGTGAAATAAGCTCTTTTATTTATGTTTTTGCTGTTATATTTAGCATTTAAAAAATTTTGTAATATGCCCAGAAACTACAGTTTTTGGACTAGTATAAAAATATAATTAATAACCAGTGGTAAAATCCCAAAATTTTCCCTACCGGTTCTGTGGGCGTGGCTTGGTGGTTATGTGACCGGGTGGGTGTGGCCAACTTGTAAAATGTGAAACTCCCTTAACAATGCTCTTGCTTAACAATCAAAATTTTGCACACAATTGTGGTCTTAAGTTTTCTTTCTTTCTTTCTTTCTTTCTTTCTTTCTTTCTTTCTTTCTTTCTTTCTTTCTTTCTTTCTTTCTTTCTTTCTTTCTTTCTTGCCTCTCTCTCTCCCCTTCCTCTTTCTTTATCTTTCTTTCTCTATTTCTTTTTCTTTCTTTCTTGTCTCTCTTTTCTCTCTCTCCCTCCCTTCCTTCCTCTTTCTTTCTCTCTCTCTCTCTCTCTCTCTCTCACACACACACACACACACACGCTCCTCTGGTCTGGGCAGATAGACAGAGCCCTTCCCGGGGAATTTTCCTGTGCGGATGCGCCCAGCAGCGGCGGTGTGGGCAGAGCTTGCCTGGGCTCTCCCGCCATCCCAGAACTGCGCCACTGGGGAGCTTTCCTGTGTGGCCGTGGTGCCGGCACCAGTGACAGCAGCAGCGGCAGAGCACACCCTGCCCTTTGGGGACCCAAAGACAGGTGGCCAGCCCAGAAGCAGCACATCCCCTGTCATGGGCTCGATGCGGGGGGGGGGAGGCAAAGGCCAAAGGCTCTACGGAAGCCAAGCACGAAAGCCAAGCGCACCAGGCCCAACAGGTGAGTGAGCCTAGCCAGGCCCCCTGGGACCCGGGGGCGGGGGGCCCCCCCCCCCCCCCCCACCGCTGCCAGCGTCGGCTTACCTTCTAGATCCTCTGCCAGCGTATCCAGCATGCCCATCATCGCAACGGACCCAGCGCGTTGGAAAGGCTGACGGTGGCAGCCCCGGGACATCTGCCTGGCGCCTGCCCTGCCAAAACACCTCCACTGCCCCTCTCAGCCCCAGAGCAGCAGCTGTGTCTCCACCACGGGCCGCCTGCCCACCCACTGGCCGGAAGGCTAGTGGGCTTGGGGAACTGCTGGGAAGGCAGTGTGGAAGGCAGGCAAGCATGGCAGGCTGTGGAGAAGAGTAGGCTGCTAGCTCCCTTCCCTGCAGCCCTGCCATGCTTGCCTGCCTTCCCCATGGTCTTCTGCTTGCCTGCCTTTGCAAGCTGGCCACGGGGATGCCGGGAAGGCTATGTGGAAGGCAGGGAAGCATGGCAGGACTGTGGGCCAGGGGCTGGTTTGGGGGTGTGGCCAGATAGCGATTGCTACCGGTTCAGCAAACCAGCCCCAATCTCTGCTACCAGTTCACCCGAACAGGTAGCATTTCACCCCTGTTAATAACCTTATAAAAAAATTTAAAAGTTGAGTGATTTGAATCCAGTGTCTTGTGTAGATGTGTGCATACTGACCCGCAAAGTAGGAAAAAATATGTTTAAATATTAAAGAAATATTGTAGAGGTTGGGGAACAAATGGTTGTTTTGTGATCAGCCAGGCCTCAATAGTCATTTTGTGAATATGCAATCCCCTCACCTTAGTTGCTGTAATTATATGGCTGTATCCACACTTTCAAAATTGATGTGCTCAGTAGCTCAAAAAGTTTGTTTTGCTCTTCCAATAATGAAACAGTCTTTTAACATACAACCAAAACTGCATGCACCACTCCTTGCTTTTATCCTTCCTTTCATATGAGCCAACTTTTAGAACAACTCAATGAAATGGTAATTTCCTCCATTCTATTAAGATAAATAAAGGATTAACTGGAAAGGAAAAAGACAGGGGAAGGGAAGTTGGTGCCTCTTAGGACAAAGAAGACTACCACTAGTCCTCAACTTAGGACCATATTTGGGATTTGATTTTTGTTCATAAGTCATTGCAGTTATAAGTCGGGGTGCCCACTTGCCTAGACCCAATATTTTGACCATATTTGCAGTGGTGATTAAATGAATTGTATGGTCATAGGTCTGAATTACACATTCATTAAGTGAATCACATGGTCACTAAGGGAATCCATTCTCCCAAATGGGCATTTTGCTGCACACTGGAAAAAAGAGCACAAATTACAGTCATGTGATTTCTAGACATAGCAACCAGTCATAAAAGCAGGCTGCTTGTCAAGCATCCAAAATGTGATGCTTTATGAGCACATTTTTCATGACCAGTATAACTTTGAACGGTCATTAAATGACAGTTGTAAGTCGAGGACTACCTGCATAATTCTGTAAATAAGCACACTGTTCTGTATCTCCAAACAGAAACAATTCCCCCATGTTTTCTGTCCACATGATAGCAGGGTCCATATACTATTAGAACCTCTAAGTAAATGGGAGGCAGGATGTCAGTTCCCCTCTCTGCCAGTTCTAAGTTCCTCTGTTAGGAAAAAATTGGCTGATAAGAGAAAAGATAATACCACTAGAAGCACAGAACTGAAGAAGCTTCTTGCAGAAGAAGCAAAATGTTTTCAAAGAAAAAAAACCAAGAAAGTCCAGTTGCCTTTTGAAAAAACACCTTTGGGACAACCATGACCCGAATGACTGAGAAATTACATATATACTGAAAGCACACCAAATGTATCATATTGGAGTGATGGCATCAAAACTTTATTTATCCCCAAAATAGAACAAATCATACCACTTTTGACTAAATGAACCTGCTGTCACCGCAGTCCTGGAGCCATCCCATATTGAAGAGAAATATGGTTTGCTTTTGGCTTTTAACAAGACGTGTGATTGCAGCTCTTACTGTATTCTAAGCCATGTTTATGGTTTAACATTTTGTTTCAGCCAGACTTCTGTTGTTTGTTTTACACATCTTGCTTAAAACAACTGGGTTAGCATGACAAGGAGACACATTTCACATCTAGCTTGGACTGAAGAACCATTCTCCACCCCCACCCCCACCCCCATTCTTGGATTACAACCTGGAAATAGTTGCAGCATGCTTGATATTCAAGCCCAGAGCTGGGTTTTGTCAAATCTCCAGCAGGTTTTGAGATGTAATAGTGGAGCTCTGCACTCTGGCACAGTATCAAAGGAGGTGTTTTTCTTTTTAGGTTTTGCCATCGGCATGCCCGTTTGTGAATTTGACTTGGTGAAGGATCCAGAAGTTCAGGATTTCAGACGAAACATACTTAATGTTTGTAAAGAAGCAGTCGAACTACGAGATGCTAATGCCCCCCATAGCAGAGCCTTGTACGTCTGTCCCCCAAACATAGAATCATCTGATCTACCAAAGCATATATACAATAAACTTGATAAAGGTAAAGAAAATGCATCACTTAATTCTTTCAGCGTTCAGAGAATTGGGATGATATTTTATATGAATTTGTACTGTAAATTGTAAAGCAAACTTTGAAGTGCACAGCATGCTGGTCTGTGTCCAGAGCAGATTTTATTTGATGTACACTCTTCTCACATCAGAGTAATCTATTCAGTACAAACAGTTTATTTTAAAGATATACCTTAAATTGTTTGGTGTAACCATTTCTTTTCAACATAAATAACAATCACAAAGTTTCCAGAAGTATTCATTATTTATTGTATAGTAAACCACCAATGAATTCAGCTGTTGTTTCCTAAGTGGAATTTAAATGTTGTAGCAAGATTGTAGATATCCTTCCCCTTTGCCTTTCTCCCCTCCTCCCACCCACCGTACCCCCTCCAGTTTTGCCTGTTAGATTTATTTGCATGTACAGTTTTAAACAAAAGGAGAAACTTGACGTGATACAATCAGTTCCCCTTTACCTTCCAAACTGACTCTTTCTGTTCTGCAACAACAATTTCTCTTTCTCTCCCCACTCCTTCCTGTGCTGCCTTCAGTTTGTTCCAGAACCAGAAAAGGTGCAGCACCTCTGGGTCCTAGGATCCTCCATCTCATCTGCCTCCTGCTATTATTGCTGATATAGCCTGAATCTATCCAAGCCCTGTTCACTGATTTCTGCCTCTCGCCCTGCTACAGTATATCAGTGTGCCAATTTATAATCCTGTTGCCTTATAGCCTTTTTATTCATGTTTCTAAAACCTAATTGTTACTGTTATGGCAGAAAAAGATGGATAGTATTTAGTCCTTCAGGTCTGTTCATTTTTTGTTTTGTTTTAATTTCAGGATATGTATGAAGTAGAGTAACATAAAAGAGGCAGAGCTGTTCCTGTCTGTCTGCTGTTGCATGGTATGATGCCTAATGCAATCTGAACCAAATTTCTTCTTTTTCAGGTCAAATAATAGTAGTGATTTGGGTTATAGTCTCCCCCAACAATGACAAACAGAAGTACACCTTAAAAATCAATCACGATAATGTGCCAGAACAAGTAATTGCTGAAGCAATCAGGAAAAAAACACGTAGTATGTTGCTATCGCCAGAACAGCTGAAACTCTGTGTGTTGGAGTACCAGGGGAAGTATATTTTAAAAGTCTGTGGTTGTGATGAGTATTTGTTAGAAAAGCACCCACTGAGTCAGTATAAGGTAAGTGAATATCAAGTATATTTTCAGAATTAATGTCATTCATCCAAACTGGAGTCGGGGAATTATGGTTTTAGGTTTTATTGAATTTGTATACCGCCCTACTCCCAAAGGACTCAGGGAGGTGAACAGGCACAGGATAAAATACAGAAATACAAAAGTTAAAAACAATTTAAAACCAAATTACATAATTTGGCCCACGACGATTTAAAATCCCAATAAATTTAAAACAAATTAAAATTCCAATTTAAAATTTAAAAGAAAGGGGAGAAAAAATTAGGCCAGGCCGGCTTGCTGGAATAAGAGGGTCTTAAGAGCACGGCGGAAGGTGCGCAGATCCGGGATCCTCCGAATTATGGGAAAACAGACCTGTGTAAATAAGAAAAATGCAACTGATATAGCAGGGTGCAAAATATGATGCTCTGAAACTATTTTTATATGTGTGTGTTATTTAGCAGGTTACTGGGAAATTTCAGTTTTGAATATTCCACTTACTTAATATAATGTATTGTTATATAGTGGAAATCATTGACTCCAGCACCTGACAGGTCAACTGTTTGAAATAAATTGGTAATACTTTATTTAACCTTAGCCTGAGTGTTGCATGTTAGCTTCATTAGATGCTGATGTTGTGTTGCCTTCTTGGCCCTAAATAGTAAAATCTTAATAGTGCTGACATTGTGAACTTCCTAACTAAGTAAAGATGATTCAGAAAAGGTATGTCCATGTCATTGTGCTTTTGTTTTGTTCTGCTTACCTATTTCAGTATATTCGGAGCTGTATCATGCTTGGCCGAATGCCCAATTTGATGCTGATGACTAAAGAGAGTCTCTATGCCCAGCTGCCATTGGATACGTTTGCAATGCCATCTTATTCTAGGCGTATTTCTACAGCTACTCCTTACATGAATGGGGAAGCTTCTGCCAAATCTCTCTGGGCTATTAACAGTCATCTGAGAATTAAGATTCTCTGTGCTACTTATGTAAATGTAAATATTCGGGACATTGACAAGGTAGGAGAGGAACTCTGGCTGTGCGGGTATGATAGTTGTGTTCTTGATTAGCAACATCAAAATATGTCTGATTCTGAACTCTCTGTGGACTATCTAACAAAAACAGTCCAAACAGAAATGGAAGTTGATTAGTGAATGTTCTGATGAGGGTGGCATGGATACCTCTTATTGAAATTTATGTGTTTTAGTTCACCACTTGGATCATCTTAAAATATGTTTTGTTACAAACTTGTTTTTCCTTTGGATACTCATCCAAGTTTGAACCATATCAGAAATTTGGTAAACTTTTACAGAGGGCTTGATTTTATTCTGCAGAGTTTTAATGCTTGCATTTATTCTTAAATGTGGTGGATTTCCAATATAAAATAAAAGTAATTTTGCTAAGTTCTTCTGTTAAAAAGAAAACTATTTTTATTGGCCTGTACTTGCTAATTCTATTTAATTTGAAAATTGCCCTTAATTGCCTTGAGTTGTTTATAAAAATATTACAAGCAGGAAATAAATAAAGAAATAAAATAAACATAAAAAATAATCAATCAATTGATTAATTTTCGGTGTACATTTTGCTTTTCTTGAATCAGTGTCAATTTTTAGTGCCTCTGTGATTATGTTTATACTTTTTTCAGATTTATGTCAGAACTGGTATCTATCATGGAGGAGAGCCTTTATGTGATAATGTAAATACTCAAAGAGTACCTTGCTCCAATCCCAGGTAAATGATACAAATGAAATTTAAAAAAGGAAACTAACCCTTTGCATTAACAGAACACATCATCAAGATGAAATTGTAGGATGTGTTTACTTATATCCAAGTGTAGAAGGCTGGCATATTGTAGCATGCTACTTTTTCACTTAATGAAGAGTTGTGTCAACTAACGTTTGTGCTTAATTTGATATTTTTTATATGAGCAAATCCAGATGATTAGATTCAAATTTTCTTTGTCAAGAGCATAAAGAATGAATTTGTCTTATGACAATGCACTTTATGACCGCATCACTCAGCAATAGAAATTCCTGTCCCAACCATGACCATTATCTGGCTAGTTTCTTTTCGTGTAGTTAATTTCTTTGAACAAGTATCAGAATGCTTCTTCCTGGGATTATGCAATTTCTACTTTATGCTTTGTGCAAGTGCAGTATAGCCAACTGTTAACTGTAAAGCTGAAATCTGTCTCTTTTGTTCTATCTAATTGACATAAATAAGGGGAAAAGTATACCACGCTGAGTTTTGATAATGGCATAGGGCATTCAGGCTAGCACTAACAGCCATTTTGCATTCAAAATGGAATGTTTAGAATAGCCTTTCCTGCAAATTTGCAGGAATTAAAATTTGCCTAGGTTTTTAATAACAGGATTAGCTCTTGTTGAAGTCAGTCCCTAAGCCAGGGGTGTCAAATTTGTGGCCCATGGATCAGATGCATCATGCGCTGGCCACGCCCACACCCAGTTTAGCGAAGGGTGAAAAAAATCACGATACATCATACGATCATGTCGTGACGACGCGAGTTTGACGCCTCTGCTCTAAGCTCTTTAGGGCTTTCCAGATAACCACTGATTGTGCTGTACCTGCCCCACTAGAATAACTAAATAAGCTGCTTCAGTTCTACCCAGAAAGTAATCAGTAACGGCTAAAAATCTTTGTTATCAATTTTTGATTTACCATGTAATTGAAAAATATTTGGCAATAAACTTATATCTCTTTTAGATGGAATGAATGGCTGCAGTATGATATGCTTGTTCTTGATCTTCCACGTGCTGCTCGGCTTTGCCTTTCTATCTGCTCTGTTAAAGGCAGAAAGGGTGCAAAGGAGGTAAAATTCTCCTCATTGACTATTAGAAATGAAGTAGGGCAAACTGTTGTTTTACAAATATTCTCAACATTTATACTGTCTTGATTGATGAAAGTAGTACTGTAATTTATGTTTCCTCGTTTATTTCCTTTAAATCTGAGCTTGCAATATCTTACTAATAGAGGAGACTAAACACTGATTGTTTGCTCTTTTGAAGGAGCACTGCCCATTGGCGTGGGGAAATATTAATATGTTTGATTACACAGACACTCTTGTTTCTGGCAAAATGGCTCTGAATCTGTGGCCTGTCCCCCATGGGTTAGAAGACCTTCTTAATCCCATTGGAGTCACCGGATCCAACCCAAATAAGGTAAATAATAATAATAAGGACTCGATAGATAAGATAAAAATGCCAAACTCAGTCCAAGCGTCTGGTTGACTATGTGGCCAACCATAATAATAATACCAGGGGAGAGTAGAGTATAAGACAAAGAATTGGAGATCAAAAAGTACCAAGATATGAAAATCCAAGCTGAAAAAACTGGAGAGAAGTTTGGTCTACTAGTGGTTAGGACAGCAAGCTAGAAAGTCGGAGATTGTGAGTTCAAGTCCCGCCTTAGGGATGAAAACCAGGTGGGTGACTTTGGGCCCGTTAATCTCTCTCTCAGACCAACCTATCTTAAGAGGGTTGTTGTGGGGGAAATAGGAGGAGGAAGGAACATTATGTATGTTTACCACCTTGAGTTATTTATAAAAATAATAAAGGCAGGATACAAATAAACAGATGACCATGGTGATCCCAATACTAGATGTTATACCAAAACATCTTGGATGGCACTTTAAAAAATTGTGCATTGAAAAAATTTCCATCTGTCAATTACAAAAGGCTACACTGCTTGGATCCGCACTTAAACTATTCCGGTACATAATAGCATTCAAAATTCTTGGGCAGAATTCAATGCATCTGAAGTCTAATACCTGCTAATGAACTGGCAGCTGTGATTTCACATTATTGTGTTTATAATAAAATGTTTCAAGCCAAGTTCTTAAATCATGTTTTCTCTTTAGGAAACTCCTTGTTTGGAACTGGAATTTGATTGGTTTAGCAGTCCTGTCAAGTTTCCTGACATGTCAGTAATAGAAGAACATGCCATCTGGATTATTTCTCGAGAACAGGGATTTAATTACAACCATGCAGGGCTGGTGAGTATTTTTTTTTTCTTCTCTAATTTTCTTGGAGCTAAGAAGATGAACAACAAATTCTTAGGTCCTTTGTGTATAGAAATATAGCTATCAACCTGCTCTCTAGGTACCAAAATAAAATAGCAATTGCTTTACATCTTCAAAATGTAAAATTCAAAATTATATAGTACCCTGTTTCCCTGAAAATAAGACATCCCCTGATAATAAGCCCAATCGGGCTTTTGAGCACATGTGCTAAAATAAGCGTCCCCCTGAAAATAAGCCCTCCTCAAAAATATTTAAATGCAGAGCTGGAAATCAGGTAAGACGGCAAGAGGAGCCCCGTCTTGCTCCACGCGCCCCAAAATAATAAGACCTCCCCAAAAATAAGGTCAAGTGCTTATTTTGGGGTTCAAAAAAATATAAAACAGGGTTTTATTTTCGGGGAAACATGGTACTAATTGTATGAGTTCAATGTTGTGACTTGACCTAATAATAAAATTGTAACTCTCTGTATTCACCTGTTGGAGAAACCAAGTAAATTACTGTTTACCTGAGTCCTCACCTGACTGAAAACTCCAAACAGGCTCATTAATATTATTGCCTTCCTTTGGATATATTCCATATTAAGTTATTGAGTAGCTTTTATTTAAAATAAACATTTTTTTAAAAAAATTAATATGTTGAAAGATTATTGATTTATGGGGAAAAACACACAGATTTTAGTTCATCAAATTATATCATAGTGGGGGGAAAAAAATCATGTCTATGTCTATAATGCTGTATTTTTAAACCATTTAAGGAAGCATCAAAACCTGTTCGAAGATCTCTGGAGCTTCATGTACATTCTTTAGTGCTGAACAAAGACACTTTTTCCATTACAAACCTTTATATGTAACGGAAATATTCCCAAGCAGTTTTCCGTCAGCTGGTTCAGAAGATAAAATTAGTCTTTTTGAGCACTTTTGGCAATAACAGCATTTGAACAAGGTGCTCATTATATGAATGATGCTATGTATTCCTTTCTTCCACAGAGTAACAGAATAGCTAGAGATAATGAGTTAAGAGACAACGACAAAGAGCAGCTCCGGGCAATCTGTACTAGAGACCCCTTATCTGAAATAACTGAACAAGAAAAAGACTTCCTTTGGAGCCACAGGTATAACAACCAGCTTTTCAGTATGTAAATGATATTACAGAGCATAGCTGTGTCTATGGTCCTTAGATATGATCCAGCTGCCCCTAAACCTTAAGCAGAGGTTTATTGAGTTTTTTTATATGGAGTTATATTTCTGTAAGCTGCCCAGAGTCAATATGAATGAATTAGGCAGCCATAAAAAAAATCTTAATAAATAAAGAAATCTTAATAAATAAATCACTCCTAATCCTGTGATGGCGAACCTATGGCACGCGTGCCAGAGGTGGCACACAGAACCCTCTCTGCTGGCATGCGCACCATCGCCCCAGGTCAGATCTCCGTGGCATTTCTTTTGTGAGCTTCTGTTTCCCTGCAAACGACAAAACAGAAGCTCACGAAAGAAAAAGATCTTACCTCTTGCCGCATTTCCAGTGTTGGGATGCCCCGCATCCCGCCGGCCAGCTGGTCTTCGGGTCTCTGTTGAGCATGTACACGCATGTCCGCATTTGCACATGTCTGCGCATGCGCGCATTCAACACATGCATGCACCTTTCCATTTGGGCATGCGCGTGCGCAGAGTTTGGGCACTCGGTATCTAAAAGGTTCACCATCACTGTCCTAGTCTGTGCTGAACGTAGAAATTAAAAAAATGTACCAGGGAGTAGCTTGTGCTATCTGTATTTGTTTAAGCAACATATTAGTTCTCTAAATATATAGGGTTCAGTTCCAGTTCAAGACAGGAGATTATTCCTAAAGTATTAAATGTGTTAGGTGATCTAAATCTGTTTTACTTAAAGCCAAGGTCTTTTGAGATTATATTGGTGACACTGATTTTATATATCTTTTCTGGAGTATGGGCCCATGTCCTGCCTTAAGACTCACAAAGAATTCTTTTCATAGGAATTCTGCTGACATTTAAGAATGTTCTTTTCAAACAAACTTATTTTTTTAAAAAAATACTATCCTTAGTTTAAAATATTATTTCTTGATTTATATAGATTTCATACAGAAGTAATACATAGAATTATTTGTGAAATATACTTCTCTCTGTCTCCTTTTTCAGGCACTATTGTGTATCTATGCCAGAAATCCTACCTAAGCTGCTTTTGTCTGTTAAATGGAATTCCAGGGATGAAGTAGTCCAGGTAACAACTCTATTGCTGAACAAATGCCTTTAAAAACTTATTTATTAAGCAGGACTTTTAATGTTTCATTATAGTTGTTGTTAGTTGTGAAGTCGTGTCCGACCCATCGCGACCCCATGGACAACTTTCCTCCAGGCCTTCCTCTCCTCTACCATTCCCCGGAGACCATTTAAGCTCATTCATTATAGTAGGATGCTATAATATTATATTTGATGCAATATGAGATAATATGATAAACTTCCCTGGGGCTACTGGGCCTAGTAGAACATCCATATTCAGAGATGAAGCACCATTAGCTACCAAGTGGTATGGACTAAAAGGCAGCCATTATCTTATATCCTCTTTCTGCCCTTCTCAAGATACCTGTTAGTCCACTGAGAAGAATTTGGTCTGACTCAGAAGGTTGTTTTCATGACTATAGTCAATTTTGCTCTCTTACTGTATCTCACACAGATGTACTGCTTGATAAAAGACTGGCCGCAAATCAGGCCAGAGCAAGCAATGGAGCTTTTGGACTGCAATTATCCAGATCCAATGGTGCGAGCCTTTGCAATTCGGTGTTTGGAAAAATACTTGACAGATGACAAACTCTCTCAGTATTTGATTCAGCTGGTTCAGGTACTGTGCTCTGTTTGAAATAACTGTGCTTCTATCATATGTACAGGAATTCAAAAGTTACATACTTAAATGGAATTTCCCAAGGACAGTATGACAGAATTTTTCTCATGAAATTTTAAAAGTGATTTGGAATTAGTCAGAGGAGAGCAAGAAAAGAATGTAATTGAAAAGAACTTTTTTATGGGCAGCTATATGAAAAGTTACCGCTGCACAAGCATCTACAGTTCACAAATAAGCATCATTTAAAAAATGAGATAAAATCCTAAATCATTAGCCTGCCCAATTACCAAACCCCAATACCTGCCTAAGAGCTATCAGTCAGAAACCATAGTACAGGATGTCTTTATTGAATTACCGCTTGTTCATGGTGCTAAATGTCAGGTCTTCGTAGTTGTTGCCATCGCAGTGTCCCCACTTCCATGTGTTCATCAGTCACTTTACAAGAGGCTTAGAGTTACATTGTAGCAGCTGTTCCCAATTACCATCATTAAGCAAAGACTACCTGTATACAAATAGCCATGCTGATGTCCTCAGGAGTGTTCCAGCCTTAGAAATACTGATAACGCCAATCACAATTTAATTTCATTGTTATCTCTAGGTTCTGAAGTATGAACAATACTTGGATAACCTCTTGGTAAGATTTTTACTCAAGAAGGCACTGACTAATCAGAGAATAGGGCACTTCTTCTTTTGGCATTTAAAGTAAGTTTAGATTATTATTATCTCTTTTATTCATTAAACATGAAACTCAAGTCAACTGAACATTTAAATATGTATCACACATATCATTAACTGGTGTTGATGGTTGCTACGGGTTGCTGCCAGCATCCTAGGTATCGACCAAGTATCTTTTAAAATGTACGATGTTCCGAGTAGCGCAATTTTTTTCCGTTCCGCTGATGTTATTGCAGGAAGCTGTAATTTCTTGATGTATTTTGTAAAATTGTTGGACATGGTGCCAAGTGCCCCGATAACAATGGGTATCACTGTGACATGTTTCATCCATAATCGCGTAGTTTCGATGGCCAGGTCGCAATATCTCATGATTTTTTTCCTAGTTCTTTTTCTTCTACTCTGGTGTCTCCTGGTACAGTGATATCAATAAATTGTATGCTTCATTGTTGTTGTTGTTGTTATTTATTATTATTCAACTTTCTGAACCACCCATCTCCCTTAAAGAGTATTACATTATAATACCCTGTATTATAAAGACAAGGAATCTAAGCTTAACTATCTTGTGACTAAGAGACTAAAATAGTTTTTATTTTTATAGTGTTTTATATGGTTGAAAATATACTTGATAAACAAGATCTTTCAGTAACTCTTTTGGCTCTAAAATAAATGCCAAAAGTTGATGATATTAAACCATTATTATAACATAAAATTGAATGTGTTTATGAACATCTTTAGCAATCTGTATCATTACTTAATCTAATATATTCTTATATATAGGTCTGAAATGCACAATAAAAATGTGAGCCAGAGATTTGGTCTGCTTTTGGATTCCTACTGCCGAGCTTGTGGAATGTACCTAAAACATCTGAGTCGGCAAGTGGAAGCGATGGAAAAATTGATTAATCTCACAGATATCCTGAAGCAGGAGAAAAAGGATGAAACACAAAAGGTAAAATTATTATGCATGAGCAAAATAAGGTTTAAAATTATGGTATGTTTTATATTTTTATTTTATTATTAGATTTTCATATTGCCTTTATTACATTATAAGTACCTCAGGGTGTCAAATATACTCCTTCCTCCTCTTATTTTCCCCACCACCTGTAAGGTGACTAAAAGTGAATGACTGGGCCAAAGTCACTCAGTCAGCTTTCATGCCTAAGGTGGGACTAGAACTCATCTATGCCTGGTTTCTAGGTCAGCACCTTAGACATTACACCAAACTGGCTCTAACTCTATGTATTTAGAAAGCAGCATTTGTAGAATTTGCTCTATTTTTCTCCCGTTGAAATGTTTCAAATACCATGCTAGTATTCATGCTAAAAGCAACTTTTGAAATATATGGGTCTATCATTATGTACTCAGAGCTGTCATTAAACAGGTACAGATGAAATTCCTTGTGGAGCAAATGAGGCGGCCGGACTTCATGGATGCTCTTCAAGGCTTCATATCTCCTCTTAATCCTGCTCATCAGCTTGGAACCCTGAGGTATCGTTTCCTTTCCAGAAATTATTAGAGCCGGGAATATATATGGAATATGAACAATGGATCAGTAGGATGGTATCAAAATATGAGTTCTTAAAATATGAGTTCACTTTGTCTCCTTCATCCTGATTTGATCTTGTCACTTGTGGGACAAAGACTGTTGGACTAAGATGGCCCAGGAAAAAAATTAAATTTATTGGCATAAAGAAACCAATGATGATGCAAAGTAATTGTTACATTTTGTATAACCAGAGCATAATAAATGAATAAAATTGTGTGTTAAAATAAATAAAACAATTGAAATATCTTTATTATTTATTTCAAATAATGCAATGAAACCATGAAAGAGATGGTATAAATAAGACTTTCAGAGTTAGAAAAAAGTAATCAGTGTGCTCCTTAGCACCCAAGATGTAATTTCCCTCTTTTCAGTCAGCATAAGTGTTTTAGTGACCTAGAGAAGACATCTCATCATCTGTTGGCCACCATGTTTCTGCTATCACACTCAGATTTCACTTTTCACTCCATGACTAGAGTTTGTTGGTTGTAGTTAAAACCTAGAGTCTACCAATTCAAACTGAAACTATACTGGTAGGTTATTAAACCAATCATTGCTGATTTCTTTGAACCTGTGATTCTTAATTAGCTTTCTTGCATCTTTCCTATTACTAACTTTTAAATTTGTCCAATGCAGTTGTTTGATTTTGATTAAAAGTAAAAGTATTTCAAATTTTGAATGTTTCAAACTTGGAAAAATAAAGTCAAAAGAATCTGTTGCAAGCTCAAAACATTTTGCACACATATATTGTACCTAAATAACATACCTTATTTAGATTATCTACATTCAATTACAATTTTTTTTGCTTTGAGTGTCTATTTAAGAGTGAACATTCTAAAATTAATGCTGTATTTGCGCACCAATAGAACCAAATGGAAATCTAATTTCAGTTGATACATATTGTCATTGATAAATGCAAAATTGGTCAAACCTAAAACCAGGTCAAATTAAACTTGTGCCTTTATGTTCTGTATTCTGCAAAACTATTTCACTGTAGCAGAGTATAGCATTGTAATATTGCAATAAATAGAGTTATATAAAATTAAATTTATCAAAGCATTAGCAATGTATTATATTCCCTTTATAACTGTTTTATAAGTTCTGTTAAGTTCTAATAAATTCTAAATCACTCCAAAATCAGATAGGGTTAATCAGAAATCAATCTCATGGTTCTATTTGCTTATTTTAATTAAGGAGAACCTACTCCTTCAAAAAAAATAATGTAAATTATTGTCCAACAAATGTTTCCATAGACTTCAATTAAGAATTTTTTGGTTCATGACAAGAACAGTGACACTGTTGCTTTAGACTGGATATGTTTTGTGGTTAAAACTAATTCACAGTGATACCTTTTCATTAGAAATTATAATTAGAGAATGATCATTAGAAGTGAAAAGTTAATCTACTTCTAAGGGATCTACAAAAATCTAATAAATTTATGTATACTGGAACAAAACTTGCTTAAACAGTTATCAATTTCTTTGTAGGCTTGAGGAATGCAGGATTATGTCGTCTGCCAAAAGGCCGTTATGGCTTAATTGGGAAAACCCAGATATTATGTCTGAGCTGCTATTTCAGAACAATGAGATCATCTTTAAAAATGGAGATGGTAAAGAAAAATATTTTGTTGTAATTTCTGCATTGTTGTTTTCATTATCCTGCCTGAAACACTCCAATTCTGAGTTTATATCCTAGCTAGCATAAACATACATTTCACACGAATATCTGTCCTTTGGATGCTGACACAGTTGTATCCCTATGCATCCCATATCTCAGATTATTTTCTGAAGGTATTTCTTGCCCTTCTAAATCCAAATTTATTCATATTTGTTGAGCATAATGGTATCAGGTGAAGGTTTCACACAGAGCAGGGAAAGTATTCTTTTCTATGGAACAGTTTATATGTGTTTCATCCTATGTGAGAGACCTCTTTTCATTTTGAAAATAACATTGTAGCAATGCTCAACTGATTTTTTTCCTGGCAAATTTCTTTTCTTTTCTGTTTTTTTAAGGAAGAAATTTTATACTTCATATTTGTATGAAAACCTCTGGCAAAAACTCATATCATTTCCATTTAGATAGACAGTGCAATTGATTTACAGAGCATTGGAGACACAATGAGAAATAAGTGGAATGGGGAATTTACAGCCTAGGGAACAACGCTGATATCATAGTTGAACTTCCTCCTAAATATTTGGGGATCATACAGTGTTCTTGATGAAGCACTGGGTGGAATAGATGCTTTGTTCAACAGAGAAGCCCTTGCAGGGACATTGCTGTTTGTTCCTGTTCTCTTTTACTCTGATCTAATAGGATCAGAAAAGAATTACCTTTGTCTGGCATGGAGTAAATACATGTATACAGAGTATACATGCAGTGACTGCTATAGGTATATTCTCTTTTGACCAAGAATTGAAGTTATTTTGTTGAAGTTGAGACCTGACCATAACATTTGGTCATCTCTGCCTCTGTCCTCCATAGTGTCTATCACAAAGTTTATAAATGTTATTCCTAACCTTGACATCTCTGGATTAAAACTGGATGATAACATCAGCTGGTTTAAAAGTCTTTAAAGTAATCTTAATTAAAAAAAAAATTTATTTATTTTATTTATTAAATTTATATCCCACCCTTCTCCCCGAAGGGACTCAGGGCGGTGAACAGCCGAGAATTAAAATAACATACAATATAAAAGTTAAGATAATTAAAAATAAATTAAATTAAAAGGCCTCCCCAATTTAAAACCTCTAGCTATACAATTAAAAAACTAACCCATAAAACCTATTCAGGCCAGGCCGGCTTGCTGAAATAAAAACGTCTTCAGGGCCTTACGGAATGTGCGGAGATCCGGAATCAGCCATATTCCGGGAGGTAGCTTGTTCCAGAGGGCAGGTGCTCCCACAGAGAAGGCTCTCCCCCTGTGGGCCGCCAGCCGACATTGCTTGACCGACGGCATCCTGAGGAGGCCCTCTCTGTGAGAGCGTATTGGCCGGTGGGAAGTTATCTGTAGCAGAAGGCGGTCTCGTAAATACCCTGGCCCTAAGCCATGGAGCGCTTTAAAGGTGAGAACCAACACCTTGAAGCACACCCGGAAGACCACCGGGAGCCAGTGCAGCTCGCGCAGGAGAGGTGTTACATGGGAGCGCCATGTCGCTCCCGTAATCACCTGCGCGGCCGCATTCTGGACCAGTTGGAGCCTCCGGGTGCTCCTCAAGGGGAGCCCCATGTAGACAGCGTTGGTGTAGTCCAGGCGAGAAGTGACGAGAGCATGAGTGACTGTGCATAAGGAATCCCGACTCAGAAAGGGGCGCAACTGGCGTATCAGGCGAATCTGATAAAAAGCCCCCCTGGCCACGGCCGTCATGTGCTCTTCTAAAGACAGCCGTGTGTCCAGGAGGACGCCCAATGTTTGATTATATAAAAAAAACAAAGTTTTTAAAACTATATTCAGTTTTCCAAACTTCATCCCTTACATAATGCATTTTTTATCCAGACCTACGCCAGGATATGCTCACGCTTCAAATAATTCGAATTATGGAGAACATCTGGCAAAATCAAGGCCTTGATCTTAGGCAAGTATTCCTAAATTCTGCCAATAGTTCTATTTGTGTTTTTCCTTTCTGCTTCAGTCTAATAAATAATATGATCTTGATCAAGAGTTCGCAACAAACTTTACGTCATCACTTATTATGGCTTTATCAGTTTTACAAATGTTTCAATTTGTTTGCAGCCTCTTTCTTTTTGCAGGGTAACACTGCATTTTATTTCATTCAAGTAGCTCAGGAAAGTACCACTGTGTTCTAATGTTTTGTGTATCTACATTGTACACATTTGCCAAGATTCAAAAAGCCCTGTCAGGCATTCACAGTGGAATAGAATAGAATAACAGAGTTGGAAGGGACCTTGGAGGTCTTCTAGTCCAATCCCCTGCTTAGCAAGAAACCCTACACCACTTCAGACAAATGGTTATCCAACCTCTTCTTAAAAATTTCCAGTGTTGAAGCATTCACAACTTCTGGAGGCAACTTGTTCCATAATTAATTGTTCTAACTGTCAGGAAATTTGTCCTTCATTCTAAGTTCCTTCTCTCCTTGATTAGTTTCCACCCATTGCTTCTTGTCCTACCCTCATTTGAAAGAACAGATCTAGCCCTATACCACAAAGTGTTTGAAACTTCTCTATTTCAGACATGAGTTGGGTGGCTCATGTTTGAAATATAGAAATATATATGCACTGGACTCTTGGAACTATTTGCACAATTGTTTAAAATTTCTTCTTAATGACAATATAGCTCAATGATGGATGTGAAGTTAATTAAATTCCATTAGAAAATCCAAACTTAGTTATTGCAGTCTAGGGTTGTATTTTGTTCGATGGACATATTCATATACTAATATTTTGACAACTGTATCGGAAAACAAAAGTATCATCTTCCTCTTTTAGGATGCTACCTTATGGATGCTTATCCATTGGTGACTGTGTGGGGCTTATTGAAGTTGTGAGAAATTCACATACAATCATGCAGATCCAGTGCAAGGGTGGCCTTAAAGGTGCGCTGCAATTCAACAGCCACACATTACACCAGTGGCTCAAAGACAAGAACAAAGGAGAAATGTGAGTTGAATAACTAACCTTTTTTATTTTCCATCTGTTCTTGATTAAGGCTAATCATCTTGACTTTTCCTCTGCTAAAGACTATTGTGCTCACAATCCAAGGACATTAAGCACACATACTCTATATTCTTCTACACATAAGAGTATAGAACCCGGTGGGTGATTGACTCTGGTCATCCAGCTTCCTTGATTGTGGCTGAGATGTGAAGTTAGGGTGATGTAACAGCATGCACAACCTTGTATCTTCTGAAAATTTCTTCCCCCCACCACCACATAGTTAAGGTTTTCCAAACAAACTTCTAATAAATGCCAGAAGCTGTAAATGTTACAGAAGCTTAGTTGCATTTATGTGATAGACAGTATATTAATGGTGGGTGTTGGCAGCTGGAAAATGCCAAAATACTGTAAAAGTTGTAGTCTTGGAGCTGGCACTGGAATCTGATGTAATGATCTACAGCATAGATATAATAAGGTTTATTATTTCATCACAAAATTATTGGACAGCAGGGGTTCCTCTGAAGTCTGTCAGTGTTGAGAGGTTGCTGGACAAGAGTAAGTGCAAAGGGATTATTTTCTGTCAGTCTGTAAGAGATTTGTGTGATATCTTCTTGGCTGTATTTTCATAACTAAAGCAAATTTTCTCTTTTTCCTTTGATAATGGACAAAGGTCAACATATGATTTTGCACTGTCAATAATAATAATAATGATAATGATAATGATAATGATAATAATTTTATTTCTATACCGCCCTTCTCCTGAAGGACTCAGGGCGGTGTACAGCCTATTAAAAGCACAAAGACAAACAACAATTAAAATTATTTAAAATTATTAAATAATTTCGACTCAATATTAAAACCCCCCAAAATTTAAAACATCCAATTTAAAATCATTACATTGATAGCCCGGCCTGGCGGAACAGCAGGGTCTTAAGGGCACAGCGAAATACCCTGAGGTCGGAGATCTTATGCGTTTCCGGGGGCAGTTCATTCCACAGGGCTGGGGCTCCCACAGAGAAGACCCTCCCCCTGGGTGTCGCCAGCCGACATAACTTGGCCGATGGCACCCTGAGGAGACCCTCTCTGTGGGAGTGAACTGGCCGGTTGGAGGCTACTGGTGGCAGAAGTCGGTCTCGAAGGTACCCAGGTCCTATGCCATGGAGCGCTTTAAAGGTGGTAACCAACACCTTGAATTGCACCCGGAAGACCACTAGGAGCCAGTGCAGCTCACGCAGGAAGGGTGTCACGTGGGCACAACGGGTTGCTCCCATAACCACCCGTGCGGCTGCATTCTGGACCAGTTGGAGCCTCCAAGTGCTCTTCAAGGGGAGCCCCATGTAGAGAGCATTACAATAGTCCAGCCGTCTATATTTTGTTAACTTAAAAATCATGCTATTAATACTTTAATTAAAATTGAATCTTTAAAATCTTTAAAAATTAAAAAAAACCTTTTTCTTCTGCCAAAATGTTTGTAAGATTATTACAAGATGGCTACAAGAATTAGTAATTGTTCTACGTTATTTGACATGTCCAAAATAATAAAGTAGTCTTTATCCAAACTAACATTTTTTTTTTATTTTTCCTAGGTATGATCCAGCTATCGATTTGTTTACTCGCTCATGTGCTGGCTATTGTGTAGCTACTTTTATATTGGGAATTGGTGATCGTCATAATAGCAACATTATGGTAAAAGATGATGGGCAGGTAAAAATATTTAAAATATATTCCCTTTCAGTATCTTTATTTAAGGGGTGCATTAATTGTCATATTTTCTATCTTGGAGATATATTTTGTGCCGCTATTGAGGATACTATAGACCTGTGTCTATATTCACCAATTGTTTTCCATTTCATTGGAAACTTCATTGTTTTGGGGAAACCTCTCTCCCCCCCCCCCCCCCCCCCATGGCATAGTTAAGGTTTTCCAAACAAACTTCTAATAAATGCCAGAGTTCTTTACTATGTTTTGAAGAGTGCTAATGTTATAGAATTGTTTTGTACCCTGGCATATGGACTGAAACACCAGAGCAGGTATAACAGAACAACAGAGTAGGAAGGGACCTTGGTGGTTTTCTAGTCCAACCCCCTGCTAAGGCAGGAAGCCCTATACTATTTCAGACAAATGGTTGCCCAATCTCTTCTTAAAAACCTCCAGTGTTGGAGCATTCACTACTTCTGGAGGCAAGTTGTTCCACTGGTTAATTGTTCTAACTGTCAGGAAATTTCTCCTTAGTTCTAGGTTGCTTCTCTCCTTGATTAGTTTCCATTCATTGCTTCTTGTCCTACCTTCAGGTGCTTTGGAGAATAGTTTGACTCCCTCTTCTTTGTGGCAGCCCCTGAGATATTGGAACACTGCTATCCTGTCACCCCCTAGTCCTTCTTTTCATTAAAATAGACATACCCAATTCCAGAAACCATTGTTTATATGTTTTAGTCTCCAATCACATCTTTCTTGCTCTTCTCTGCAAATTAACATTTGCTCTTTCTTCATATTAACAACAGTCTAAAATATATTCTCCATAGCTGTTTCACATTGATTTTGGACACTTTTTGGATCACAAAAAGAAGAAGTTTGGTTACAAACGGGAGCGCGTGCCATTTGTCTTAACCCAAGATTTCTTGATAGTGATTAGTAAAGGAGCACAAGAATGTACCAAAACAAGAGAATTTGAAAGGTGAGTAAGCGGGAATAGAAATGCTATTTGGTCTGACCAAATTTCTGTTGCAGGGTGGTACAAAAATATGACATTATGTCTTATAGAGAAAATGGTATTTGGATTGCCTTGAGTTTTCCTGAATAAAACCTTGTGCATTAGGTAACAGCAAAAATTTGGGTCCAATTTTCAGTTACATTTTTTAGAAAACAATTACATATGCCCATGAGGCGCTGTTGTTACTGTAATAGAAAAAAATCTGGTTAGAAGCCAAAGGGCAACAGTCTGCCATATGATCACAGAGAGATTTCCACAAAAAAAATGTTGCCAAATATTGAAGGTGCTGACTCACATCCTTCTTACCTTTCAGTTAAACTATTGCACTTTGCCTTACATGTGGCTGTCCTTGAAGGGACTTCAAAAGTTTACCTATCACAAGAATATTTGGCATAATACAGTTGCAGTTACTTTGTGGGAGATGCACATAAGTGAAGCTGTTGGTGATTTATTGTTTAGGTTCTTCATATTTTTAGGATCATCTTCTCCAAGTAGAACCTGCTCATTCTAGATAGTCTAGCTAGGAGAGGAGTATTTATAGTGCAGGTACCCACTCAAGGGGATTGGGGCCCAGAAGGTTACTTCCTCTGAGCCCTTTCACTATAGAACAGCTTCCTTCCTGAAAACAGATTAGCTACTGTCTTCTTATCCTTTAGAAAATAGTAAAATTAGTTCTGTTGTACATTGTTTTTGAAAGCAACGATTTTTAATTTGGCACAGCAACTGAGATATTTTCATTTCGTATCTGTTACATGTCATTTTAATATTTTAAGCCACCTAGACAACATAGAAATTACCAAAATAATGACGGTGGTAATTATGATGGTGATGAACCAATCTAGCACCACCTTTATAAGCCTTTGTTCATGAACAATTTAGAACAATTTGCAAGTGGAAAACTTGCAAAGACATATTATCTCTATTATTATCTGTTATTATTATCTCTACACTGAAATTTGCAAATGAATTTGGCACCACCCGTAAGCCTCATATAAAAAAAGCTGTATTTTCTTTTGTCTTCCTGTGTGTATTTACATGATAATTATGCTTATTAATGCTGAGTGCAGAGGTTGTTGGTTGTGACTATTATCAAAAGTATACAGAGCTGAATAACGTAAAGCTCTTTCAAGAGTAATGTTTGTTACTCTTACATTTAAAGAAACTATTTCTCCAAAGATATTCCTTGGAAATTATATATCTTTTGGCAATCAATATGTCTCCAGATGTGTTGGATTACAGCTCCTGTAGCTTTAAGCTCACATGATCTGATTGCGTGATGGTTTAGAATTTGAGGAGTTGTAATCCAGAACATCTGAAGGGTCCTAGATTGCGTCTGTACTGTAGAATTGTTTTCCTTAACACTTAAACAAAAAAATTTTCAGGCAGATAATCTTTTGAAACAGAAGGATGCCTATGTATTTGTTGGCCTGATCTGGGGTGCATTTTCTCTTTTCAAGGTTCCAAGAAATGTGTTACAAGGCCTACCTAGCAATTCGACAACATGCCAACCTCTTCATAAACCTCTTTTCCATGATGCTTGGTTCAGGGATGCCAGAATTACAGTCTTTTGATGACATTGCATATATACGCAAGACTCTTGCCTTAGACAAAACTGAACAAGAAGCACTTGAGTATTTCATGAAACAGATGAATGATGCTCATCATGGTGGTTGGACAACAAAAATGGACTGGATCTTCCACACAATCAAGCAGCATGCCTTGAACTAAAGTAAAGATAACGAAAAACTGATAAGCCTAGTTTTTTGGCTGTTCCACTGCACTGTTGTCTCAACAGCTTAAAAAAAAAACCTTGTTGCATCACAGTTGCACAAACCAAGGCCAGCGTTTGAACTTCCAACAAGGTTAAAAATGCAAAGTTATTTAAATAAAACATTTGTAGTATTTTGAACACTATAAATCATGCATTTCAACATGTAACTTTCCTATATGTGTAGTTGTGTTAATGCCTTAAGTGTAAGAAGGTAACTTGGAGATTTGTTCATCTTGGTTTATTTAATTGGGAATTTATGCCAGCAAAACAGCCCAATCTTTCATATGTCCAGTCTTTCACGTAGTGAAAAAAGGGATTCAGATAAGTTACAGAATAATGAAAAGAAGGAAAGTTTAGCAATTTTGTTCATTGTTTCTAAAAGAGCTTTCTTCTCCCATGAACTGTACTGAGTAAAAAAAAAAAAAAAAATAGAGGGGATGGTGCCTTTATAATGTCAGATAAATTTGTGGATTTAAGAGTAGTGGTTTTTCTTAGGTTTTGGAGTTTGGATTTTATTTTTTTTCTAACCTAAACCTCAGAACATTTTTCATGCATGCTTTCCAGAGCCTAAAAAAAGAGGTGAGTTATTAGAATTAAAGATTATTTTTATAAACGTTATTTATATAACAGAAACTTATTAATATATATTTCTTTATGTTGATTTTCTGTCATTTTAATTTTACAGACCACTTCTTTGTCTAACAGATTTATATAAACCACTAGACTGATGCAGTGACTTGTAGGATCAGATTTAAAGAATCCTGTGCTGTTCCAGGCATGGCTTGTCTGTATGTACCAAGTCCTGACTTTAGAACCAGCTCAAATGCAGAAACATAGAGAATGCAGGGCATACTTTTACTACATCCAGGGATTTATTCAGCACTTGCTGAGTAGATGTTGAGAACTCTCTGTGACAAATTGAATAGGATATGTATGCCTACAGTTCATATGTTCAGAAGGCTACTTAAGTTCGGCAGCTGCACAGAGTTTGTACTTGCATTAGGACTCCAGGATGAGGTCAGGGCCTGCAAGTCCTTGTCTGTGCCGTCACAATGGGGAAGGGGGAAATCTTTTGAAACTGGTAACACTTGCTTCCAAATAAATATGACTTGTGATCAGAACGCTCAATTTCCATTGTCTACAACTGCCTTTTCTACCTTTCCATCTGCCAAGCTATCATCCCTACCCGGTAGAACTACCGGTAATTGCTTTGTGATGGGAGTTATACCCAGACATATCTGGAGAGTGCCGAAATAGTCAGTAATAAACATGTTTAAATGCTGAAGTTGAATCAGAACTCGAGCATATTTGCTGAAGTTCAGATGGTAAAGTTAAGCTAAGTGTAATTTAGGAATCTAAAGAGTTTTGACTTATTTTAAGCTTATCCAAAAGGGAACATCATATATTTATAACACTCTTATAAAAGTTGAATAATTCTTAATACCTGTGGTTAACATAGTCAGAAAATAACCTTGAATAGACTGAGAAACGATTGGATGAAAAGGGGAGAATTTGTGTCTTCAGCTTCCTGACCAAAGTAGTACCACAAAGTTTGTTTCCATTGGTAACTATTTGAATGTTCTATAAGAAAATCTATTTATGGAAGTAGAAACTGATTCTTCTTTATGCTAGTTTTGGTGCATTAGAATCACATAACATCTTTCAGGTCTTCCTAAAAATCTCAGGCAATGCTCTTTAAAAAATATTTGGTGTATCTTGATTATTTTTAACTTGCCTTCCACCTCTCCCTTGGCTTTCCTTCCTAGACTGCTGGAAAGGAATTGCTTAATTAGAATAGCCAACAAACCAGAAATAATAATATAAATCTGATCACTAAACAGTCTTCAAAATACTACATAATTCGTAGCATGCAGAACTAACTAATCAATATTTTATAGATAGGTTTGTGCCTGTGTATACTGTATGTCTTTATTGCAATATAAAACTGACAAAAAATTGGCATCAACCAGCATAGTGGCTGGTACAAATTGTTCCATAAATATTTTTTTATAATATTGTGTATCCTGAGCCCAAGAACCTAAGGTGCCATTTCTTTTATACTAATGTTGTCTCACCGAGTTCATAGGATTTGAAAATGTTCCTGAAATCTGGATATTTGATCGCATTTGCCTTCCCCTCCCCCCCAATAGGTATTCAGAGTGCAATATAATTTGAATATAGTGTGCTGACAGTAGCTAGTAGAATATAACAAATAAATTTGTATAGAACATAAACGGTTAAGAGGCTATATTTCTTGAACAATGTAAACATTTGTTATCTATTAGTAATTGCATCTTGAATTTATTTTTATAAATACAGATAATGAGTATGACAATTATGCACAGCTCTTTGCAAAAATCATAAATCCACGCATCTTGAAAGCTAATGTTGGTAGAGATGATACCATAGGGCAGGACAGAGGAATCTGCAACCTTCCTAATGTTGATGAACATTTATTCATTTATTATTTATTTTACTCTACATATATTTCAACAATTTACATGTTTGCTTAAAATATCCCTAATCATTGATCATTTAAGGTAGAGTTGCTTAGGAACCATAATTTTACAATAAATATCTGCAGTGTCATTGGATCCCTTAACCTGCATATATGATTGTGGAAACCTGGAAGTGGAGTAAAAATATTTCTTGGGTTATCTGGACTACTTTTCACCATTCTAATATTTGTTTGAGGCATAATCTGTATGCAGTTAGGATTCACCCACCCCCTACAAAAAAGTACCTCTAATTCTATGCCTTTGATTTGTATTCCCCCCTCCCCCCCAAAAAAATCCCTTCATCCTATGGTAAATTGAATGTGAATTTACACTGTGGGACACTGTGACCATCATAGACCAAGCCAAATCCAAAACCGCAAGAGAATTCTTGGAAGCCTGGCACTCAGCCATCAATAGGCACATCTATATACCATTCAAAAGAGACAATCAACAAGCCAAAAAAGGAAACAAAAAGACCAGAACACCTCCCCACCAGCAATCATCACCCAGATGAAGAGAGATTAACCCCACGATTAATCTCTACTAGCACTGATGATGTTGCCTTGTTCTCGTTGTTAGTTGCCAAGTCATGTCCAACCCATCGCGACCCCATGAACAACTTTCCTCCAGGTCTTCCTATCCTCTACATCCCCCGGAGACCATTTAAGCTCACGCCGACTGCTTCAGTGACTCCATCCAGCCACCTCATTCTCTGCCGTCCCCTTCTTCTTTTGCCTATTTTTTTTTACCTAGTTTGTTTTTTATTAGATGTTATCTAGTTTGGGCAATGAAACGTCTGCCAGAAACAACCAAGCTCTGAGAGGATCAAGAACCCCTCAAAACAAATTGTCTTTCAAAAGCAACATTTAATCTGATGTTTTAGAATAGGAAGGATTTTGATCAATCTGTTTTTAGGTATCTAAAATTACAACTTTTGTTTCTTAGTCAATGTCTCCAATTGAAAAAAGATCCTCATTTTGCATTACTGTTCACTTGTGATTAAGTTTGTTTCTTTAATACTATAGACAAGGAACAGATACAAACTGTCTTTAGGAGTTATTTATTTAAATGCCATGATGTCCCTGTGTCTACAAAGACAAGAATCATGCTAATCATATTCCCTGTGATACTCTGTGGAAGCAAAAGTTGAAGAGGTTGGATAGGAAGATGAACATCCTTAAAAATTGGTGTTGAAGACTGCTGGAAATAACCATGGACAGCCAAGAAAAGAAATAAATGGATCAACAAACCAACCAGAGAAACTCCCATGTAGTTGCTAAGAGGTGACTACTCAGAAATCTAATGTGCCATGTATTTGTTTTATAGGAATAATGGAAATTACTTTATACCAGACTAGAAATTTGATGTGCTTAATTCAGTATTTTTTGTATTAGTAAACAGATGTATCCAGGATTCTTTCCATCCTTTATCTGGAAACACCAGGAATTGAACCGATGAATTTTCTACAGGCCATTGCAGCTGTGCTCCTTCTGATCATAAATATATTTTTATCTAGCATAACAGTTGTGTTCTACTTTTCTACACTGATTGCCAGCACTTTTACTTAGGAAATAATACATACAGTAAGTACTTGAAAATATAGCTCTCCAATATTAAATGATCAGTTATAACCTATAATTTGCTTTCTGGTGAAGGATTATTTTGGATAAAATATATAATATCTACTGAAAATCATTATAAACTTGGTTTGACCTCCAATTTCCTATTTGTTGTTCCAGTGAACAGAAGTATTTTATGGGCACTCTATTTTAAAGTGCTATTTAAAATTTGACATATATTATTGTGATATAGTGTCATATTACAATTCTCAGGTATGGCAATTATAATGATCAAAAATTCAGGTTCAGATTTTAAGAAGCACCAAGTCAGGTTTTAGGTTTTAAATGACTTATCAGCAACTACTATTTCTACCTGGATACATGGAAAAGTAAGGAACTTTGCTCCTCTGTTTATGATCTTTGCTTTTCTGTTGCTCTCTCAAAGTTTTCTGGAATTGTTCTTGCTAGATCCTCGGCCTCCATCCTCTTAAGATGTTTAGAACCCAGTATTGTTGCTGTGAATATGAGTAGACAGATCACACACCTGCGCTGGCAACCAGATACACACGTAGCAAAACAAACTTTGCTTCTGATCTGGAATCCTTCACTACTTCACAGTTCTGTGTGATTTGTCTGTCTTTATTTATTTTATTTATTTATTAATTTAATTTGTATACCGCCCTTCTCCCAGAAGGGACTCAGGGCGGTGAACAGCCAAAATTAAAAAAAACATACAAATGCAAAAGTTAAGATAATTAAAAGAATTAAATCATTGGCTACCCAAATTTAAAACCCCAAATCCATAAAATTTAAAATCCCAATTAAAAAACCATTTAGGCTAGGCCGGCTTGATGAAATAAAAACGTCTTCAGGGCTTTACGGAAGGTCCGGAGGTCCGGGATCAATCGTATTCCAGGAGGCAGCTCATTCCACAGGGCGGGTGCCCCCACAGAGAAGGCTCGCCCCCTGGGGGCCGCCAGCCGACATTGCCTGACCGACGGCACCCCGAGGAGGCCCTCTCTGTGAGAGCGTATTGGCCGGTGGGAGGTTATCGGTAGCAGCAGGCGGTCTCGCAAATACCCTGGCCCTAAGCCATGGAGCGCTTTAAAGATGAGAACCAACACCTTAAAGCGCACCCGGAAGACCACCGGGAGCCAATGCAGCTCGCGCCACGTCGCTCCCATAATCACCCGCGCGGCCGCATTCTGCACCAGCTGGAGCCTCCGGGTGCTCCTCAGGGGGAGCCCCATGTAGAGAGCGTTACAGTAGTCCAGGCGTGACGTAACCAAGGCATGAGTGACTGTGCACAAGGAGTCCCGATCCAGAAAGGGGCGCAACTGGCGTATCAGGCGAACCTGATAAAAAGCCCCCCTGGCCACGGCCGTCATATGCTCTTCTAAAGACAGCCGTGTGTCCAGGAGGACGCCCAAGTTGCGAGCCCCCTCTGTGGGGGGGTCAGTGACTCGCCCCCCGCTCGTCTTTGATATAGTTGATATAGTTTGTTGCAGAAATGCTTATATTCACAGAAGAATTTGAAAAACATGTTAGCATCATTGAATTGTATTGATCTGAAATCACATGAGAAAATTAGAACTCAAGAACAAAGGAAATGAGATGGTTTGCTCATCTCTGGCCTTTTTTTGTTTGTTTGAAAAAAAATACTTTTATGAATGGTCATTGCAAGTTTTCTAACATTCAGTCTTTTTCACTTCATTTTATAAAATGTATATTAATTCTCCATTTTCTGTGTAAGCTTACCCATTTTTAACTGCCTGCCAATTTTCAGACTAGAACTGGATTCTTTTAGGGAAAAACAAAAATACCTGTGTGTGTGTTCACACCTGAAATAGTTTTGCGTTAAACAAAATAATCACTGGCTTTTAAAGTTTTTACAGATTTTAAGTTAACATTGAAAAGCTAAAGAATTGCACAAATTCTTAAGGCACTTATTTGTTGACTTTCTGCATCACAAGTTATGTGCTTTAGGTCTGTTTTATGTAAGACTAGCATTGACGGTTCACTTTTTTGTGTGTACAAGTCGGTGTATGTGGTTATTCTGGCTGCTTCTTCAGAGACCCTACTCTCAAGAGGTACAGAATGAAATGAAATTCAAATTTAGTTTGTAACAAACCTAGCACAAATCCTCCTTCACGTTGGTTGAAGTGAATGGAGTAAATACCAGGATATAGACTGTTTCAGACTAGTACGTTTAACTAACTAGAAGTCTGAACCTTCACACTGCTAAATCTTTAAGCAATTTTGAAAAAGGCCACAGCCTTGGGAATCTATGATGCCTATGAAGAATTTTGTCACACTAGATATTTCTTCACATACTGTGTATAAAAGTGATATTGATGAATTGCTACTTGCATCTTGGTCACATGTTTTGTTTGCAAATATATAATATCTCTCAACAAAAATGTGTAAATCAACATTGTACATGCAACATGCTTTTCAGTGGAATCTTATTTGAACTGGTTGTAGCTCGCTATTGCCTTTCCCTTCAGTGCATTCAGCATGCAACCTAAGGGTAAGATGCTAATGCTAATTGCAGGGGATGCAAGACAGCTTTTCGGTGGCCACATATGCTGAAGGTAGAATTCCTAGTCAACAAGCATTTAGTGCACAGTTTTTGTGTGTGCCTCTTCAAGTCACTCTTGATTCCTAGCAACTAACTAGACAAGTCCTCTGTAGTTTTCTTGGCAATATTTTTTTTATAAGTGGATTGTCATTGCCTCTTTCCTAGGGCTGAGCAAGTGACTGGCCCAAAATTTCCCAGATGGGTTTGTCCTTAAGGCAGGTTTCCAGTCTGATGCTTTAACCAGTATACAAACCTGGCTCTCATTGTGACCTAACTACGATTGATTTGGAATTTTATAGCCCTTCTTTGGTTTTTTTAATTGTATTTTTAATTCCTTAGTGCTATTATGGTAACCCTTTTAAGACCAAAAGGCAGTATTGAGATGTTTGGAGGCATAGTAAGCAATAGTATAAGATTCTCCTGGCTGCACTTTAGTTTTAAAAGAAAAATGAATGTTAGAGAGGTATTATGGTATAGAGAGGTGAATTGTTCATTTGATTTTTAACAATTTCCTAGAAAAATAATTCCAAAATGTGATTTATATTTTGTATCAGTTACAGCAATAGATATTACAGTAGTCCTCGACGTAGAACATTTAACACTTAATGACCCATACTCCCTGCTCTCCCTTATGCAACGCATGGAGCACAGGGTGCCTCAGGGGTGAGGAAGGTCTTCGGAGGCTTAGGCATCTCCCCAAGACACCCCATGCTCCGCTTGCACCCTTGGTCTCTGCAAGCCTTTCCCTCCCAATGGTCCCCAGAGGCCTTTCCTTTCCTTGGGTCTTCCTCCTCACTTACCGTATTTTTCGGAGTGTAAGACACACTTTTTCCCCTCAAAAAGAGGGTGAAAATTGGTGCATCTTATACTCTGAATGTAGCCCTGCCCCGCCTCTCAAAGGGAGGTTTCAGAGGCTGAAAAAAGCCTCAGAAATGAAGCTTCAGAGAAAAAAGCCTCCAAACAGAGCTTCAGGAAAAAAAGTCTTTGAAAGGAAGCTTCAGAAAAAAGCCTCCGAAACAGAGGTTCAGAAAAGAAGCCCCCAGACAGAGCTTCCGAGGCTATTTTTCTGAAGCTCTGTTTCGGAGGCTTTCCGAGGCAGGAAATTTTTTTTTTTCTGAAACAGAGTTTCAGAAGTTTCAGAGGCTGAAAAAAAAAGCAAGGCATAGAGCTCACAACCAACGAACCTGTTGCTAAAATTCACCTCTGTGAACAGCTGATTGGGTGTATTCCAGGAGGCCGATCCACCCGCCAATCAGCTTTTTTCTTACTTTCCTCCCCAAAAACGAAGGTGCTTCTTATACTCCGAAAAATATGTTATCTTTTGAAGATCTCCAGACCTCATATTGGGGAAAGAGGACAGGCCATGTCGCTGCCTCCTGGAAATGGCTGTCATTTTCAGTGCACCCACAATTCCTTCTACAGGGCTGTGTAGGCCGCATTAAGGCAGCAAAATGTAACAGTTTGTCCCTGAGCCATGGGGCAGCCTCATGGAAGCGGGCATTTTGGCATGCCCATGTGGTTGGGCCGAAAGGGCCTCACTTCTGGGTTGCTGCTCTGTGGGCAAGGAATGAACTGCTCCGTTTTGCTGCCTTAACACAGTCTGCATAGCACTGCAGAAAGTTGCAGCACTGTATAGACAGTGTAAAGGCAAAAAAAAATAAAAAATGGAGCAGTTATGTCCCTGGGCTCTGTGTCAGTCCCACAAAAACAGCCACTATTTTAATGCACCCACAAAGAATTGCAGGCACGCTGAGGATGGCCGCTTCCAGGAAGCAGCCATGTGGCCCAGGGACTATATAGCCTGACCTCCTTTCCCAACATGAGATCCAGAAGTCTTCAAAAGCTAAGCGTGTGATGGGTGACAGGTATTAGTAGGCTCAAAACTTGCAGGGTCCCGGTGAGGTGGAATGAGGGGGGAGAGGTAGGGGTGCTGCAGCAGCTGTAACTTCAAAATAGACTCATAAGTAGCTTTGAGGAGAGGAATCTGTTATAACATTGAATGGCTGTTAAGTGACCAGTCGATCTTGAGAACTACCTGTACAGGTAGTCTTTGGCTTTCAACCACAATTGAGCCCAAGATTTCTGTTGTTGTTTGAGTTTTGCCCCGTGTTATGACCTTTCTTGCCACAGTTGTTAAGTGAATCGCTGCAGTTGGTAAATTAGTAACCCAGTTGTTAAGTGCATCTGATTCCCCATTGCCTTTGCAAAAGATGATCACATGACCTTGGGACACAGCAATGGTCATAAATATGAACCAGTTGCCAAGCATCTGAATTTTGATTGCATGAATCATGGGGATGCTGCAAACATGACTGTGAAAACCGGTCATAAGTCACATTTTTCAGTGCTGCTGTAACTTTGAGTGGTCACTAAATAAACTGTTGTAAATCGAGGACTTCCTGTATTACTTCTTGTCTCAGTTTTTAATTATGTATATCTTAACTGACTTTATCAAAAAGACGACTGCTCTGACCTTAAATTTCTTCACCCCTTCTTCCTGGGGTATGAAGAGCTAGGTTTTTTCATACTAAAAGTAAAGGCTTTTTCAAGTCAAACTTAATGCCAAGTGAAGTTCCATGAAGTTTTCTTGGCAACAATACAAAAATTGTTTGCTACTGTTTTCTTCCTGGATGGATGGATGGACAGACACTTCCCAAACTGGTCTCCAATCTTGCAGTCCCTGAGTCTTTCCATTAGAATAGAGTAGAGTAGAGTAGAGTAGAGTAGAGTAGAGTAGAGTAGAGTAAGTAGAGTAGAGTAGAGTAGAGTAGAGTAGAGTAGAGTAGAGTAGAGTAGGAGTAGAGTAGAGTAGAGTAGAGTAGAGTAGAGTAGAGTAGAGTAGAATAGAATAGAATAGAATAGAATAGAATAGAATAGAATAGAATAGAATAGAATAGAATAGAATAGAATAGAATAGAATAGTTATTGGCCAAGTGTGATTGGACACACAAGGAATTTGTCTTGGTGCATATGCTCTCGGTGTATATAAAAGAAAAGATACATTTGTCAAGAATCATAAGGTACAACACTTAATGATAGTCATAGGGAACAAATAAGCAATCAAATCATATTAGGAAACAGTCAATATAAGTCTTAAGGATACCAGCAACAAGATTACAGTCATACAATCATAAGTGGGAGGAGATGGGTGATAGGAACGATGAAAAGGTTAATAGTAACCTTTAAAGAGACCTGACCCTGCTTAGCAAACCCAGACAAAAGAACAGCTTGGTGCTGCCACCTGTTGAGACATTTTCATATTGGTGTAAACAATTCCAAAATTAAAGAACACACAGAGAAAATTTGGAGGGAATAATCTGAATTTTAAATGATGTTCCAGGGATGGTGAGATCTTGCACAGTACTGGAGATCTGTAAAGAAAAAAATGACAGAAAAACATGAATCTTTAAAGTAGTTGGATGCTGATAAAATTGAAAGTTTAGGGAAGAAAAATTATTCAGTAAGGCAACTGCACAAACTCAAGTTTCCAGACATTTTCAGTATCTGGGATATCAAGTCTCCAAAGCTATAATGGCAACTGTCAGCACTACAGGACTAAGGAAATCTGGCACTTTCTTCTCTGTGCTATAGGATGAGATGAGTTATCCGAGTTTCCCAAATATATCTCTCTGAACACACAGGAAAAGTACACACAACAGTCGTTTAGTGACTGCTCGAAGTTATAATGGCACTGAAACAAAGGTGATTTATGACTGTTTTTTAAACTTATGACATTACAGCATCCCCATAGTCACATGATCAAAATTCACCCACATCGTCACTATGATGGTTGCAATGTCCCGTGGTCATGTGATCCCCCTTTTTTGTGACCTTCAGATAAGCAAAGTCAATGGGAAAGTCAGATTCACTTAACAATTTACTAATTTAACAACTGTAGTGATTCACTTAACTCTGGCAAGAGAGGTCATAAAATGGGGCAAAGCTCACTTAACAAATGTCTCATTTAGCAACATAAATGTTGGGCTCAATTGTGGTCATAAATCAAAGACTCCCTGTAGTCCTCAACTTACAACTAGTCGCTTAGCAACCATTCAAAGTTATGACAGAACCCAAAAAAGGGGCTTGCAACCCAGATTCAAAGTGCTAACAGCTGCCCCACTGTGGTCACATGACCTCATTTTTGGAAGCTCAGCAATTAGTCCATATTTGCAGCCAGATATCCGCAGGAATCCCATGGTCACCTCACTGATTTATAAGCTTTTTTTTCTTAGAAATCAGCATTTACTTTTGACTTGGCTCAGTATAAATAAAACATTGGGCAGGGATCTTACACTATCCCCAAATTTTTTTAAAAAATGCTACCGCCTGGTTACATGATTGAAATCCCAAACCCTTTACGAGCCTTGACTGCAGAAAAAGCTGGAGAATACTTGCTTTATATTTTTGTAATTTTTATTCTTTTTTATATTTATAATCACTGAATATTTGTTTTATTTTGATGTAAGCTGCTCAGAGTCCTCTGAACTATGAGATAGGCAGCAAATAAATTTGATAAATAAATACATAGAGGGAATGTACCCCCAGTTACCAAAAAAAATAAATAAATGACCATATCTAGAAGATCATTCTGACAGGCTAAACTACAATTAGGATTGATTTAGTTCTGGCTTAAATGTCCTGTAAAGTCATCCACCAGAGTATATAAATCACGATTGATAGCTTAGCATAATTTGTGAATTCTCTGAATCAGCAGTGCCCACAGCAAATGGCAATGGCCATATGCGCATTTTCATGCAGACATGAAAAATAGCCAGTTAGACCCAGATGCTGCATTTCATCTCACAAGATGGTGCTCATTGGTCGAAAAAGCAGACCCTGCACCTGCAGGAAAAAAATGCTAGAATGATAAAACATGCTCATTGTCATACAAGAACATAGGGCTGGTGTCAGGCCTGGAAGCCATCTTTTTTGTTGGATCTTCAGGCCTACCACATGTGGGAAACTAGGGGGGAATTGTATGGAGCATAGGTGATATATAGTCATAATAACATTTCTTTCTCAGGGAGTCAAGGCCATCTTGCCCTGCACCTGGAAGGCTGGAACTGGGAGGCATCTCCAATTGGGACAGTGCTTGGATTGGTCATGTGATGGACATGTGGGTGTTGGCCAGGGACTTGGAAGGGTCCAACCTTCTGCTAAAGGCAGGGGACCTTATCCTCCCAATCAAACGGTTGTCTAGTATATTTTTGAAAACTTCCAGTGATGGAGCACTTGCAGATACTACAAGTACCCACAAATATCATTACTTCTGAACACAAGTGCCCAGGTCACAGCATTTGCATGTTACCATTCTCTCCCCCATCACAAACGCTCACACACACTATGATTTGCAAGGAAAGCTAAGTTAAGGACTTTAAAGATCCAGATTCTAATTCTCCTTCAGCCATGAACACTCATTGGATTTTAGGCTCTCTCTCTCTCTCTCAATTCAACTATCTCACGACACTGGGTTTTTTTGGAAGGCGGGAATAGAGAAACAAATCTTACATATATTATCTTGAACTTCTGGATATAAATCTCATGAATACTTTTTTAAACTGGCTCTGACAGACAATGATGTCTGAACCAGCCACCTTCGTCTACTGCTGTGAATCTTTCAAAATAGGCATGGACCAAGTGTGTGGATGGTTTATTTTATTTCTCCTACCGCACAAAATTATTTCAGCTTCTTTCTCATTCAGATACCTGTTTGCAGCGGTGGGTTTCACATTATGTAACCGTGTTTACCCGAAAATAAGACATCCCCCGAAAATAAGCCCTCCCCTGAAAATAAACCCTCCCCTGAAAATATTTAAACGCATGTGCAGCCGGTCCCCGCCATTTCCTCTGGTTAGGGTTAGGGAGACAGAGCTGGAAATCAGGTAAGATGGCAAGAGGAGCCCCTTCTTGCTTCACACGCCCCAAAATAATAAGACCACCCTGGAAATAAGGCCAAGTGCTTATTTCAGGGTTCAATATATATATATGACAGGATCTTATTTTCAGGGAAACACAGTACTACCAGTTCGCCCCACATGCACCCAATTCGTGTGTGTGCCTGCCTTCCATACATGTGCCCGGCCTTCCATGCATGTGCTTTGCTCGTACACACACCTTCCGTGCATGCGCCTGGTCTCAAAAACATGCCTAAATAGGATGGCATAGAGCCGGGATGGAGGGATGGGGGGATGGGCAGGCGGGCCCGCCCACCCACGATTTCCACTACTGGTTCAGGAGAACCGGTCTGAACCAGCTGAATACCATCTCTGCCTGTTTGGCTCTTATTAGAACTGAGCAGCTGCTCTCTACATGTTCTGTCTCCTTCACTGGTGTTAGGATTTTATTTATTTGTATCTTGCCTTTATTATTTCTACAAAGAACTCAAGGTGGCATAAATATCCACCACATTCCCCTCCTCCTATCTCTTTCAGTACAACTCTGTGAGGTAGGTTGGGTTGCGAGAGACTGTCTGGCCCAAGGTCACCCAACTGACATTCATGGCTAAGGCAAGACTAGAACTCACAGTTTCCTGCTTCCTAGCCTGGTGCTTAAACCACTAGACCCAACTAGAATATTAATTCTTTCTTTTAATAAGTCCCAAATTTGCTTGATATTGTGGGGCCCTTGGTACTCTCTGAGCTTGTTTTTTTTTGTGCAGATGTTCCATTACCCAACAAGCTAACATCATCAGTTCTAGAAGCAAACGGCGGTTGCTTGACATTGCCTTGGCATGCTGTATATGTTGTGCTGAGGTTTACTCAACAAACCATTGTTAAAGCAAACTTTAGCTCAGCATAATGTGAGACCCAAAGGCACACTGTTATTCTAGGCCTTTGAGCTTACCTCATGTGATCAGAGAGGTCATCAGTAGTGCCCATTCAGAACTTCAGGGCTGCTCGGATTGCCTGACAAGCTGCTCTCTTGACTTCTAAAGCTCTTTCGGGTTGGCCTGACTGATAGACTGCTACCTGGACTTGAACTTCTGGTTCTGTCCCATCGTGGTCTAACAACAAATCACAGCAAAAGAACCCATCAAGCAAGCATCTCAGCCAGCGCCGTGCTCGGGCCTCCTGTTCTGCATCCAATCCTGGGTCTGGATCCACCTGCACAATGACTCCAACCAAGGCCACTGGATTGTAATAGATGCAGTTCTTCAGCTTGTGTAGCATTTCAGCCAGTCGATCCAGTTGGTCCCAAGACTTAAGGAAAGGAGCTCTGCACAGGAAGAAGATGAGCTGGGAGTAGATTCTTTCTTGTTGTCTGGAGCAGCCATTTTCATTCAGGAGCTGAGACCTTTCAGGCCACTGGCTGACAGCTTGATCGCAACAGATCACTGAGCTGGTCACATGGAAAGCTGGTATAGGGAATTTTGCAAACACTTCCTGTCGGAAGTTCTCCACCACCGCCTGGCTTTGCAATTCCCCAAGCAGATGCACGTTGCCTCCCATCATAAACTGAAGGGTCACAAATTCCAACTCCAACTTTTCCTCAAGTGGAAGGTCAGACCTGGTGACAACTGCCAACAGGTCTCTGACTAGCTTTAGGCCTGCCTCTTGGCCTTGGCGGTCTTCTTCTGCCGTCCGGCTCTGTCCTGTTCCCACTCGCTCTGTGACTTCTTCCCAGGATCTCCCAGCCTGCCTCAGGATTTTCTTGTGAGTTCCGATTGAAAACCCTCTGAACAAATTTTGGCCTGCCCCAACCGATTCTTCGTTCCTTGTTAGGATTTCATCAGATGGTTCTGTAAATTCTTCCGGTCCTCCTTGAACCTGCTCTTTGATCTTTGGGCGAGCACCAGCCACAAACTCACAGTCCCTTCCATTCTCTTCTGGGATATCTTCATTCAGCTCTGTGCTATCTTCTGGTATTCCTTCTTCTTGCTCTAGAATATTCTCCTGGTTGGTTATCTCCAGCTCTGTGATCTGCTCCTGAACTGTTTCATTCAGCTTCCTACTCTTCACTGCAGCGTTTGTGTTTTGGTCTAAAACCACTTGGATTCCTTCTTCCTGCTCCATAACCCTTAGCTTCCTTCCTCCCCCTGATCATTTCTCCAGGCCCTCCCAGGTCTGACTCCTTGTTGCCTAGACCCCACTGGCTGCCTTGTGTCACAATAAGCGCTGACCCACTCATTCATTGGATGCTGGCTTTGACCAGGTTCATCTTGTGAAACTTACATTTCCCTTTTCAAGCAGCAAACTAATTATTATTTTTTACATAATAAAGAGGGAATAAGTCCACCAGAGCTTTTCATGCTGCATTTATTAGCATGTGTTATTCTAATCTAAAGCAAAGGCCAATTGGAACGAAGTACAAATATTGAGGCTAATAGAGTTGACTGTGGCTTGATATATCATAGGGATGCAGCTGTCAAATAATATGGATGTGGCCGTTTCCTGCAATTCCCAACATTCTGAAAGATTCTGTCTTCTCCCATGAAGACTCTTGGCAAGTGTTGACATTTCCTCACCATCACCACACACAAAAATGGACTATAGCCAGGTGCCAAGTTTATTTTCAAATAATTTCTATCTATGCTGTGGGAGCTTCAGAAACATTCTTAGAAATAAAGAAGCCAAGTAAAGTAGAAATCCCAGCAAGTGCCTGATGATGACATGTCCATGGGCACGCTGATATTTCTTGGGAACACAGTGGAAGTGGCATCATCCTCTGTGAGCTGCCATTCGCTTTTTTTAAAAAAATGGTTTTGGATATACAACGAAGGCTGAGTAAAAGCACAAGGAGAGCAACGGAGCTGATACCATCTTGAACTGGTAGGGCTGGGTTCCATTTCAGCCTATAGGTGAAATAGGATAAGGAAAAATATGCTAAATGCAAAAAAAGTGGGGGGGGGAGTTATGGGCCTGCAACCTCCCCCCACCTCTGAAATTTAAGTGACATGATGTATCTTTTTTGTAATGTAGGAAGTTAGCACCCACCCCTGTCCTAGAAAAATGAAATATTCTAGGAAATATTAAAAAGGCAGAATATTATACCTTCCTGGATGAGAAAAGGAGAAACATGCTCCCGGAAAGCGGCCCCCCACCTTTGTTAATAGCCCCAGAAAGACAAGAGACATCTTATCTAAAACACAAAATACCTTCAGCTCCAGGGTGATGGGATTAAGACATGGCCCTCAGGACATGATAGGATTTGCCCTGCATGGTCTGACAACCAATCAGAATACAAGCTCAAATTCAAAAGCCCAGAGAGGATATAAAACTCAGGCACTCTCAGCATCTCTTCCCTTTTTTTTTTTTACTTCACCCAAGATCTTCAAGGCATGAGATCCTGTCCACCATTAAAACCATCTTTCCAAACAGCCACCATGTTTCCAGTGTCTTTCTTCCCACTTGGAACTGAACCCAGATGGACATTCCTTCCAACAGTAATTTTCAAAGACCTGTTTTTAATATAGAGTTTATGGGTAGGACAGAATACAAAGAATGTTCACTACTCAAATTAGGTTTATACATGGTGCTACGTCTTGGTCTGACTAACAATCTTCCTCGAACAATTTAACATATTGAATTAAAACTCCACTTTTCTACTGAACAAATACTCAAGGCCTCTAACAAAATGTTTAAAAGCATTCTATAAGCTGAAAGTGACACATAGGGTTGCCAGGTCTGCTTCCAAAAAATAGCGGACAAGCGGGCGGGGGTGTGTGTGTTAAGTAGTAAAAAATTTTTTAAAAATTTACAATTAAATTATATATTTTCTTACAAACATTTTAACACGTATTAAAATAATCACTTCAAAACTTTACTTACAATTCAAAACATCAAATATATTATAATAATATGTAAAATATTAAATTACATTTTAATTTCATCATAAAGCTTTTGAATAAAAAAAATGTCCACTATTTTGTGAAAAAAAAATAGTGAACATAATGTGAAAAAAGCAGACTGTCCGCTCAAATAGTGGACACCTGGCAACATTAGACACAGGAGGCGGCCTTGGCCCAGTTCCCAGATATGTAAGCTTCTTCTATTTAACAAGATAATTTGATAACGAGAGAGGCTTTTCCTCAGATAGTCACACTCTAAGCGTTTGGGGTTTTAAAGATTAATAATATTCACTTTGAAAACAACTGGCAATCAGTAGAAGTCTTTCAGTACAAGAATCTCATGGTCCTTTCATTTTTCCTTCCCAGATGCAGATTCTATTGTATTCATTTCAGTACCCAACTGAAGCCTCTGTAGGTTTGTTGAAGTGTCTCCTCTAAAGTTATCCTTCCCAGCTTTGTGTCATCTGCAAACTTGATAATCAATCCACTCAACACTTCTCTCTAAGCAAAAGCTGAAGCATTAACCAGCACTATACAGTCATTCATCCAACTATGAATCCATCAAACACTAATATCAACTGTTGGAAGAAAATATCCATCTGGGTTCAGTTCCAAGTGGGGAAAAAGACACTGGAAACATGGAGACTGCTTGGAAAGATGGTTTAATGATGGACAGGATCACATGGTTTGAGTTCCTGGGCATAAAAGGGGCGAGATGCTGAGCGTGCCTTGGTTCTACTAAAGCAACTCAAGAAGAAGAAAAAAGTGAAAGAAAGTGAAAACAAAATGCAAACCAAGCCATTTAATAATTAGTTAAAACACCATTAAAATTCATCAGTGGTACAGACTCCTTCTAATGAAAACCCCATCTAGCCACTGTTTCCAGACTCTCCAAGGCTGGATGAGATCATCTTTATATATTGATGGATATCAGAGGATATCACAGAGAAAAAATTCAGTTGATTTTTCTTGGTGAACATTTCCAAATTCTGATGGTGATAAGAACAGTCCATCTCAGGTACATATGCAGTCTGGATTGATTGATTGATTGATTGATTGATTGGCTCCATTTATATGCCACCCTTCTCTGGAGACTCAGGGCGGCTTTCATATACTTTAGTGTATACCTGCTTAGTAGGGCTTTTGCCCCCCCACCAAGTGGTGTTCTTTTTTATACAAAGTCAGTTTATTGCCCCCACAATCTGGGTCCTCATTTTACCTACCTCGAAAGGATGGAAGCCTGAGTCAACCTTGAGCCTGGTGAGATTTGAACTTGCAGTAATTGCAGGCAGCTGGTGCTACTTAACAGCACTTTAGTCTGTTGCCCCACCAAGGCTCTTTGCTAACTGGACTCATCACCAGCTTAATTTATAGGTCAAAAATGTTCAAAATATCAAGTTATACATCATCACCACCAATAATAACAAATATTAACATCTCCTCCACCTATGACCATGATGGCGAACCTATGGCATGCGTGCTTGAGGTGTCACGAAGAGCCATTTTTCCGGGCACGCGTGCTGTCGCCCAACTCACCTGCAGCTGTGCATGTGCACACGCTCCAGCTGGTGTTTGGGCCTCCAGTGCGCATGTGTACAATTCAGGGGACCCAGCCGATTTTTGGAGCTCTCCTGTGCATGCACCCACATTTGCGCATACACTCACATTTGAGCATGTGCACGAGAGTACTTGCACATAGCACATGAATGCATAGACGGTGTTTGCGTGTGTGCCTTGTGCATGTGAAAACCACATGCATGTGCAGTTGGTGCGATTGTGCATGCAGCGCACAGGGGAACCGCGCAAAAGCCACACGCATGCGCAGATGGTGTGATTGTGCGCACAGTGCATGGGCAGGAGCATGTTAGCACGGATAGCACACGCACAGTGCCTACCTGTTCAGCCCTCGGTGAGTAAAAGGTTCACCACCACTTACCTATGAAGTGCACTGTTATGATTTCAAACTTATAAGAGCTACTTAAAGCAAATTGGTCCATTTCTCCCAAGCTACCGGTATTTAGTGACTATTTCAATGGTTTTCTTCCAAGGTTCTGCAGATGACAAAGTCCATAACTGTTGCATCCACTATAGGGATGATGCAGACATGGCTAAGTTTTACTCCTCACTTTCTCGGCCACCTTATCATGGGACTAATTCAATGGTGGGTTCCTGCCGGTTCCTCCCGGTTCCGCCAAGCCGGTAACGGTGACGATATGATGTCACTGAACCGGTTCTGCCCCCCAACCCCCCTGACCCTCCACCCACCCTCCGTGTTATTCTTACCTTTTATTTGCCCCCACCCCCAATCTATTGCTGCCTCCTGAGTCCCAGATGATGGCTAGAGGGAAAAAAACTGTTTAAACTCTTGCCACGGGGCTTCAAAGGGTCGCCCTACAGCTGATCAGTGTTAAAAGAAAACAAATGAGTAGACCGGTGCCTGCAAAAATACATGAGTAGATCAGTGCCTGCAAAAATACATGAGTAGATCAGTGCCTGCAAAAATACATGAGTAGATCGGTGCCTGCAAAAATACATGAGTAGACCGGTGCCTGCAAAAATACATGAGTAGATCGGTGCCTGCAAAAATAAATGGGTAGATTGGTACAGCCTGGTAGACCAGTACCTCTGCTAAATCCTAAATAATTGTCACATGACCATCAAGCCACGCCCACAAAATAAGCCATGCTACAAAATAAGCCACGCCCACAGAACCGGTAGTAAAAAATTTTGAACCCACCCCTGGACTAACTTCAGAACGATTGGTTTTTCCGGAACTAATGGTTGCTCATGACCAGAGGAATCTGCAGGAGAGAGAAAGAACAGAGAAAGAAATTAGCAAACTGGATAACCCAACTCAACTTCCAGGTTCACGAGGTTGAAGGACACCGCAAAAGGTCAACTAGAACCTTTCCAGGTCTAAACAGAACCATGGAACACAACCACAGTCCTGCTTGAGCAGGGGGTTGGACTAGAAGACCTCCACGGTCCCTTCCAACAATTTTTATTCTATAAGCCTTCTCTACAGATATGGTAGGTTTTTACATAATGTGTCTGAAGAAGTATATAATTTGAACCTAGGCATTTTGGTCTCGAATAAGATCTCTGGATCGACTTGTTTGATAATCCATTGTTTGTCTTCTTGATTGTCCATGATGTCTTCAGAATTTTCTCCAACGCCAAAGTTCAAAAGCATCCATACTCCTTCTGTCCTGCTAGGTGAAATTGGTTAATGGAAACTGCCGTAGATCTGTATTCAGATCCCCTTAAGAGTTGCATGGCCACCCCATGCTGTTTTTGATGCCCAAAGTCTCGGGTAACGCTCTACATCTCAGAAAACACGGGCTCCTTCCCCAGAGCCACGCTTAAGCCAACATCAAGGCAACCCCAAACAGAGGGATTCAATCAGGAGCATGTGAGATACTAATACCACTCTATAAAGCCTTAGTAAGACCACACCTAGAATACCACAACCAGTTTTGGTCACCACGCTATAAAAAAAGATGTTGAGACTCTAGAAAAAGTGCAGAGAAGAGCAACAAAGTCGATTAGGGGACTGGGGCAGTTCACTTTAAGTTTGTATCTATTATTTGCTCGTGTATTGTTGTGGCTGAAGCTGAAATAGTCATTGACAGGAAGGACATTGTGGCAGATAATTTTATGTATTATGCTTAGGTTGGACCGAAGTCGGCGTAGTTCTAAGTTGTCTAAGCCCAAAATTTGAAGCCTGGAGGCATAAGGCAGTGGTTCTCAACCTGTGGGTCGCGATCCCTTTGGGAGTCAAACGACCCTTTCACAGGGGTCGCCTAAGACCATCAGAAAACACATATTTTCAATGGTTTTAGGAATAATTTTATGGTTGAGGGTCACCACAACATGTATTAAAGGGTCACGGCATTAGGAAGGTTGAGAACCACTGGCATAAGGTATTCTAGAGGTAGAGGAATGGAGGACACTTCATCACTGGAGGCTTTCAAGAAGAGACTGGACTGCCATCTGTCAGAAATGGTGAAGGCAGGGTCTCCTGCTTGGGCGGGGAGGTGGACTAGAAATCAGGGGTGGGCAAATGCGGCTCTTTTACAACCTGCGGACTTCAACTCCCAGAATTCCTGAGACAGCTGTCTCAGGAATTCTGGGAGTTGAAGTCCACAGGTTGTAAAAGAGCTTGCTGTCTCAGGAATTCTGGGAGTTGAAGTCCACAGGTTGTAAAAGAGCCACATTTGCCCACCCCTGGACTAGATGATCTACAAGGTCCCTTCTCAGGCCTTGTTTTATTCTGTTAACCTCACGCCCGAGGAGACCTGGCGAAAAGAGAGGGAAGGCAGCGCGCCTGCGTATTGGCGCGCGCCCTCCTTTCCCAGAGGAGGCGGGGAAGGGGCGGGCGGCAGGGGCGGGGTCAGCCGTCCCTCGCGCTCGCCAGGTTCCACGCGCGCTCCCCGCAGGGTCTCTCCCGCGTTCCGGCGGCGCGTGAGGGCGACGCTTGCGGCCTTCTCTTTGAGGTGAGTCTAGCCGCGCCTCTCTCTCTCTCTTTCTTCTCTCTCTCTTTCTCCTCTCCTTTCCCGCTCGTGTGCGCTGAGGAGTAACCGCCTCAAGGCCGGGCCGGCGGATTTCCCGTTCCCAGGAGGCTCGGAACGCCGACTCATCTTGCGGAGAGCCCAACCGCTTTCCCGGGGGAGGGTCTTTGTGGGGAGTGGGAGGAGGGGGGGGGCGGGAAAGCCATGCCTCATCGGGCTCGGCAGAAAGAAGGCGGCGAACCCTGTGCGATCGGGATCGTGGCGATGGTGTCTCCCAAGGTTAAACGGCAACCCGCGCGAACCGTTGCGCCGCCTGGGGAACAACCCCGCGTTGTTTAATGGGAAGCCTCTTCTTCTTCTTCCCGCCCGCTCGCCAGGCATTGGGTGGCCTCGGATTCCCATCGTCAGAATCCCGTTCCCATTCCCCATAAAGGGAATCTCGGGCCCGAAATAACTAATTTTGCAATCCGAGCAGAAACCAGACCGGGTTTTTTGGGGGGTGGGGTGAGGTGGGGGTCTGAGTTGATGGAGGGGGCTGGATTTGCAGAATATATATATATTTTTAAAGGGTTTAAATAATTCATCCTTATAAGAATATGGTGTATGTCTGATCTTCTTTGCATCATCATCTCCCCTGCAAACTGTTGGGATATATCTCTTAATCGTTTCTGCCAATTGTTATTATTTTTTATGATAATTTACGCTTGCTTTAAAAAGGGGGGGGGGCTTTTTTAAAAAAAAATAAAATTAAAATGAGAGGGGTTTAACTGCGTTCCCTTCTTGCGCTTTTCTCAATAGGACCCTCTGATCATAAATAATCCAACAATATAGAGACCCTAATTTGTGTGTAGATTATACAGGTAATCCTGGATTAACAATCACAAACGAAACCAAAATTTCTGTGGCTAAGCAAGACAGTTGTTAAATTTTTGCCCTGTTTTACGACCTTTCTTGCCACAGGTGTTAAGTGATTAAGTGCAGTTGTTAAGACATTAACACAGTTAAGGGAATCGTGTATGAATGGTGTATGATTTTCTTTTGCATCATCTCCTCTGCAAGGGTTGGGCTATATCTCTTGTCGTTTCTGCCGATTATTATTATTTTTTATGATAACTTAATCTTGCTAATAAAAGGGTTTTTTAAAATAAATAAATAAATTGCGAGGGGTTTAACTGCTTTCCCTTCTTGCGCTTCTCCCAATTCGAAAATGCTCCTGAATGGTGTATGATTTTCTTTACATCATCTCTGTAAGGGTTGGGACCTATATACTTTCCTCTACTTTTACTTAGCCCTTGGGCCATATCAAAGTGCAGAGTTCCAGACACAAGTTATTATGCTAAAATCTGATAAAAACAGTTTAAAATGGAAATGGATAAAACACAATTTAAAATGAAATTGGAATAAAACACGATTTAAAATGGAATTGGAATAAAATACAGATTAAAATGATAGCTTTGATTAGCCTATAGGCCGTATCACAGCACAAGGTGCAAACACATATCGCCAATAAAATCTTATACAAACAATTTAAAATAAGAGTAGGGTAAAATACAATAGTTAAAGGATAAGATACAATATAATTTAATACATATATACCATTTCAGCCAATTTTTTTTTTAATGATAATTTAAGCTTGCAAAAAAAGGGGGCTTTTTTTAAAAAAAATTAAATTAAAATAGGAGGGGTTTAATTGCGTTTCCCTTCTTGCACTTCTCCCAATTAGGAAAATTCCCTTGAAAGGAGATTTCTGCGGATTGTTAGTAGATCCCTCAGATTTCTCTTGTCTTTGAAATAAGTCTGCAAAAATGGGTGCCCCTTCCACTGCCTTTCCTCTCTGTCTTGGGTAAATATGGTATACCTCACCAGAGGAAGATGATAGTAGCACCTTGGTGTTGTAAAAATGCGTGGTGCCAGTTCAAACTTTCCCCTTTCAAAGAAACCATCTTTGTAACACATCAAATCTTTTTAAATGGGAAACAAGTAAAGCATAGAATGGCAGACCAGGACATTTCATTCTTCCTTGTTCTAAAGGTTTTATTTGAAGAAATATTTGAAATCTATTCTCCACTTAGAACACCACCTTCCTTCCCAGATTCTGCATGGCTATTTTTTTCTGTGGTCCATAAATTAGTTAAAGACAGTGATTATATGTGAATATCAGTGAAACTTAGTTTTATTGCAGGGTGGGAAGAGTATTGTTTTAATATGATGTATAAACCAAGGCCCCCTTTCATCACCTTATGATTCATTGTAATATGGGAATCCAGAAAAATGTAACCAGTTTAAGCACATTGTGTGAATCCAGTCAGCGTATATATTTGATATAAGTGTATTGATAGGGAAGATTGATTCCTTCCTCTGTTCTAAAATAACTCCATTCTTCTCTTCTACCTGAGAATTTTTGAAAGAAAAGGTTGGATTATGGATCAAAGCACACAACCTTTATTTATAGCTATTTATTTAATTTAAAATATTTATATGACTGCCCATTTTGCAGTACAGTACCCACAACCTGGGGTAGCTAACTACAATGGATAAAATCAAAAACAATAAAATACCAAGAAATATATCATGAAAAACCAAGCACCCAATCCATCATGTACATCACATTCATCTACGGTATGTCATGGGTGCCCAAACTTCCACCTTGCCTAGGCCACATTGAGTAAAGAGGAATTTTCTTGGGATACATATAAAATATATAATATAGTTAATGTATATAACTATTATATAATTTTCAAAGTTTACAAGATTGTGGGGCCACATTCCTAGCTGTCCAGGGCCACATGCAGCCCATGGGCCATGGATTGGAAATGTCTGAGCTATGGAATTCCAGAGGTATGTATGTATGTATGTAATGTATGTATTTGGGGATGAAAGCTTGCTAGTTCTCAAAGGGGAAGGGTGTTCCACAGCAGGTCTGCTATGGAAAAGGCATGCTTCCTGGGTCCCACTAGATCAGTAGTTCTGAACCTTCCTAATGCCACGACTTTTTAATACAGTTCCTCATGTTGTGGTGGCCCCCAACCATAAAATTATTCCTAAGAGCATTGAAAATATGTGTTTTCCGATGGTCTTAGGTGACCCCTGTGAAAGGGTCGTTTGACCCCCAAAGGGGTCGCTACCCACAGGTTGAGAACCACTGCACTAGATGAAAACAAACCAAAATTCAATCCACCTCTTTGAAGAACATTTATTGTTATGTTTATTTCTTCATGTTTTATGTAAGGGTCAGCTCATCTGCACCACTTTTATACAGTATTCCTGCATCATTTACAGATCAGATGGTACATACACACACACACTTCTGTTGGCATAAAAGGAAAAGAAATTGAAGTTTCACTCGATATGACTTGGGTATTTTTAAATGTAGGTTTCCTGTCTGACTTCCAGCTGATCCATATAGCCTGATATATAATCCAACCCACCACCCAAATTAGTGAAATTTGACAGACCAGGGTGATCCCTGAGATCTTGCTGTGAGGGGAATTGCCTTTGGCAAACACAGAAATTTTTGAACTCGGCCGAAGGTTATTCATTTGGAAGCAGAGATGCATACTTGAGTGTGGTATGTCTGTGCTCTCTTCCTGTGCAAGAGTTCTTTCTGTTTTTGAGGAGATCAGCATCCAAGGTCTAAAAACTTGAGCAGTGCAGTTAAGAAGATAAATTGGAAACTTTGCAGGCAATATCTGAAAGTGAGAAAAGCATGAGCAGCCATGCTTCTTCCCATTCCCAAGTGCTTTTTCTCATCCTAATATTTACCATTGATATAGTCAAGATAATCTCGACCCATTGGATCATTGTTTCAAAGACATTTCTTTGCCTAAACAGAGAAACAAAATACCCCCTGGGTGGGCAAAAATGCAGTGGTAGTGCAGGGAATTTCCTGCCAGGTTCCCAGTTGACTTACGTTAAGGAAAGCTGGCAGGGAGAATTGAAAATGCCAATCACATGACTGCAGATGGACTTGGCAGTCCTGGCTACCACCTTGCCAAATTTCAATTCCAGAGGAGTCCCGGGTCCTGGATTTTGGATGCATTCTTTAAAAGTTTGAGGTTCGCAATTCAAAAACTGTTCCCCTATAGTGCATCTTTTGGCTCAATTGAAGGTTACAAATGACGAAACAGACATGAGAAATTTAGCAGTATATAGTTTTTAGAATGTCCAGGTTCCCCCCCTCCCCCATATCTTGAAAACACATGTCTAAATAGCTTGATGGCATTATGACTACAGCTTCTTTAAACCCCAGCTACATCATAGAATGTAGTTCAAAGATTCATGAGGGAGCCAATCCCTTCTTAGCCTATTTAACACCTCTGCTAGTTTCATTGTACACAGATCTCCATTACACCAATAAAAGGTTTGCCACCTAGTGACTTGGTGGCAGGCTTAGAAGATAGAAACCTCAAGGACTTTTGTCATTGACCGTTCTCATAGCTCTTATGGGGGGGCTTAACGGGCTTAACCAAGCATAATTTTCCCTTTGAAAAACATCTGCCTGCACATAGATTACCCTTGATCTTTTTGAAGATTGCCTTGCATCCTGCACAGTTCAGGGTATTGTTTTTAGTGAATTTCTTTCAAGACATTTCAGTGCCTTGGGAACATTTCTATTTTGTGAACCAGGAATTAGAAACCCTTTAAGATTTCTTAAGATAAATTCAGCTTCTTAGGAAATACATTATAATGACACACATACATAGATACATTTGTAAATTTCAACCTTGAATTTAGTGATAGATAACTCTTTTACTTTATGTTTATGTTGGAGGGACGTGTTGTCCAATTACAAAATAACTGCCATAATAGCATGCCAATCACAAATCAAAAAGCCAAATTAGTTTGAATGCGCAGATTTGTGAACACCACGTTGAGTTTGGAAAAATTAGTTCTTAGATGAGAAGAACTGATTAAATGATATTGATATATAAGGCTATAGTTTGATAAATTTTTAGAATAATCCCTTAGATTTGCAATGGGAAATG